AAAACGTATCATCCAAAAAACGCAACATCCAAAGACGCAACATCCAAAGTACGTAACCTCCAAAACCACAACGTCCAAGACCACGACATCCAAGGCACGCAACATCCAAAACCAACCTAACCTAACCTAACCTAACCTAACCTAACCTACTGATTTTTGCCTACCCCTAACCCAACCTAACCTAACCTAACCTAACCTACTGATTTTTGCCTACCGGGGATAAGGAAACCTAACCTAACCTAACCTAACCTAACCTAACCTAACCTAACCTAACGGTTTTGGATGTTGCGTACTTTGGATGTTGCGTACTTTGGATGTTGCGTACTTTGGATGTTGCGTACTTTGGATGATGCGTCCTTGGATGTTGCGTTTTTGGATGTTGCGGTTTTGGATGTTTCGGTTTTGGACGTTGTGAATGCTCCCTATATACCCGATTTTGGACGTATTTTGGACGTTGCGTACTTTGGACGTTGCGGTTTTGGATGTTGCGTACTTTGGATGCTGCGGTTTTGGACGCTTTGATGGTCCCCCTCAAACAGCGTGGGTAGACTGTGCCGCTTAACTTTCGGGTCATGCGGCACAGCCTACCGGTTCCAGGCGGCTGCTGCCAATGCTGAGCCAATGAGCCATAGTAACCCGGTGGATTAAGAGTAGTGGACCATCAACCTGTAGCTAACTGTATACGTACAGTCCACAGCAGAAGTAATATGTGGTTTCAGTCATGGGTATGTTCTGCTTCTGAAGCCTAGGAACGATCAGCCAGACTGCAACGAAACTTTAAATGTAGCTTAGGTACATGTATCTTCACCCTTGCAGCTACAACTTTATCTATTGACGTCTTCTTTTCAATCGGTCCGCATTTAAAAATCGTCGGCCAAAGCCATCCGTTGAGATTGGTAAAACCACACATTACTTTAGCGGTGGGCTGTACATAGGGGAGAGAGGGCACCCTAACGCTTCTTACGATGCCGATGTTTGATTGACGTTTGGAAAGATTCTCTCTATACCAATGTGATCCCTATTAAATTGCCTTGTATTTCAACTTCGTTTCATTACTAAAGGCATTCACATGTAGGAGATATTGGCAAAACCTTACACCTATGCATTTTGGCCACTTAGCTTAGCCCCATGCCCAAGGGCAAAGCGACCACCGCAGTGGCGGCGGAAGGTATTCTAGGATAGGGGTGCAAACGATATTGAAGCGCCCCTTCCCGCTGGGCGCCCCTTACCATATACACGGTTGAAGTAACACAAACAGTGAAGAGACGTTTGACAATGTGTTGTGTCCTGTTAACACGTTCAGGATTACAGTTTTTATGTAACGAGAAATAGTTAGGTACATTCCATAGCGTAAATGTAACCTTCATAATGTTCGTTTAGAAACAACCTCATCACCATATCATAAGATTCTCCGAATAAGGCATATCGAAAAGAGTTCCACGGTTCCAATACCTTCGTGTGGACTAGTGAATAAGCTATCGCCTGGCAAGATTATCGCCTGGCAAGATTATATTCGACAGGGTCGGCAGCATCTGCCTTTGTTTCAGATAAGGATGCCCTCCACTCTTCAGCATATCAAAAGATACTTTTCCCACGTCATTGCCACCCTCTTCGTGTCACAAGTGCCTTTATCAGTTGCGTTGTCGCACTGCTCAGCTTTATGGCTGCCGTACCTCTTAACTTCCTGCCTCCTCTACAGATTTTCGAGGCGCCCCTTTCCATAGCTTTAGGGTGCAGCTGCCCCCCTTGCCCCCCTGCTTCCGCCGCCACTGGACCACCGGCGACTTATAAAGCCCCGATATGAGAAACAGAATAGTCGTATCATGTAAGTACCACTAGAGGTTTTGGTGAAACGAGGTCGAAACGAAAATGGATGTTTATTTTGTCATCTTTCCGCCTGTAGGCGTACAATGCAAGGACATTCACGGAAAACATTAAATTGCATTTTTTTGTGACTGAAAAGTAGCCGAGATAAACGTGTGACAATACATTTTTTAGTGTCAATAGCGTTTGTTGTCTTAGCGGAAACAATTTATAAATTGGGAGCTGTCCATTCTATCCCGTCCACGCAGGGTGTAATGCACGGGACAAACCCCGCGCATCCGCCCGAGACAAAGATCTCCCAGCTGTGTTATTAGTGGGGCAAAACGCATTCAAATTGACAGAGGACACGTAGGTACGATAACCACTAAATGCAAGCATGATAACATTTAAATAAACTTCCGAATGGTTGAACAAAATGTCGTCGTTGCAGCGCTGAGCCGTCGCCATCAATCCAAAATTATAAAATGAAACTGTGCTCACTCACTTAGTCCGTTTGGAAGGGCAAGTTTTGTTCGGCATTCCGGTATATATGTAGTTGTTTCACCTATCCGAGCAATAGAGCTCTTCCCATATTTGTCTTTTGTTGCTGCATTTGCTGCAGTGCTGCACCAGGGGGTTTGCTGCATTTGCAATTCGGAGGCTTAGGGAGGAAAATTCTTATCGTCAGCCTTAGAAGTGGATACCAATCTGACCGTGTGTAACCTCTTTACGGCCGACTGTGAAGGCACTGACGCATCCTTGCGCACACAATCCTGACAAAATTAGAGCTGACGCGTCGTGATGCACAATCTCGACGAGACCGGACTGCTTGAGCAGAGAGTTTGGTGGCGTGACAAGACAGGGTGTTTCGATCGGCCGATATGATAATTTGTTCGGCTTAGCAGATCGGGAGTCACTGATAAGCGTGGTTAATCAATTATTGCTCTGAGATGAGGTCTCATCATCCATTGTATAAGTTATGAAGTGGCATGAAAAACTAAAAGGCTACTGGCGATTTATTTGGCATTAACTTCTGATAGAGGCTACCACGTTTAGAAGAGCTATGAAGCTACCTATCATGGATACTTTCATCTCAGTGATACGGATTGACTGACATGCAGCGTGACTTTAGCGAGTCACGTCACGACGGCGTATAAAGCAGCCGCTTTGCACCCGATAGGTAACATGAAACTGTTGGTTGTAACGCTGACACCGTTGTTGAAATTAGAAAGGCTGAGGAAGTAAGTGCAGCAAGACCTTTCGTAAATCGTTTCTCTAGAGTCATCATTAAATCATTAATTGAAAATCGTTAGTCGTTAAATTGTTTTTAAGTTAAACATTTAGATAGATGGGTACCTACATCAATCGCAGATAATATTGCTGTTTTTGAATGTTTGTTTACCAGCCCTTGAGGAAGCGAACAAAGAGAAATTTCGGGATATTTAATTGTTTTTGAATGACCTCCTTACAAAATTACACTTTTCATTCATGTAGGTATTTTTTGTTTTAGATGAATTTTCGGCCACGGGCCATGATCACATCAATGCCAAAAAATTAAGAATATGATACAAATTGTATTGTACAAATTGCACAAATTGTATTGAATATGATACGAATATTTATTTGTATCATATTCTTATTTTTTGGCATTGATGTGATCATGGCCCGTGACCGAAAATTCATCTAAAACAAAAAATACATGAATGAAAAGTGTAATTTTGTAAGGAGGTCATTCAAAAACAATTAAACGATTTAAATGCCTTACATTCAGCAAGCACTAAACAAATTTCGGGATGTATCTAATTCAAACTTAGTAGGACCATTCAGCACTGCGTAGTGCGTGGTTCAAAATGAACAGCGTCCTAGTTGAACTCGAACCGATCGATTGTTACGCACTGCACCGATGGTAGACCAGACGAAACACATGGTTTTTTATAACTTAGGTACAGACGTGTCTTAGACGACAAACGGGCAGCTGAACCAGCGACTGAAATTATCCCGTTACCCAGCATTGTGATATCGGACGGTAGGGGTCACGGGGCCTGTGTGATGCATTACAAGCTCAGCTTGGCGTGGGCTCTGGCTCTGCATGTCAATCCATTCATTCAATCATTCGAGCTAGATTTATTTTATTTTTTCACATGCCTGGCGAAAGTCGGGGGAGAGCGACTATAGGCAAAAATAACTAAAGCCGGCGATTTTTCTGTTGGTGAAACTTAGGTACCTCTGGACCAGGAAATGAGTATAACGACCGAAATTAACAGTTAAATAATCTGTTAGTTATTTATTTGCACTCTTTCAACGCCTGCCCGTTTCCGAGTGTCGCTATACGTCACGTAGCGTCTTGGCGCTTGGGCCACGTAGCCTACGTGGCCCAGAAGCCGAGTTCAAACACCCCCTCCCCCTTCCTCACCAGCGTGAAAATTGAGGAGCTCAGCGGGGCGCGGGATAATATATTCCTGCCCGGGCCGGGATGATTCAATAAATGTCACCGAGGTTTTTTAGCGAAAACTCCGAGGGCCGTTAGGCCCGAGGTGATTTTGCTAATAAAAAAGCGAGGTGACATTTATTGAATTCCCGGTCTTTAGGGCTGGAAGGTGTTTCCCATACCTGCCAAAGCTCACAACTATATGATAGTGACGTCAGCAGCCGTGTGGTTCAACCGCCAACGTGTTTAACCACACCCCTTGAACCACACGGCTTGTAATGTTAAAGCATGGCATTAAACTTTGAAAAGTGTGGTACAGTGCACGTGCCGTTTAAATGCCTGGATGTCTCGATTTGATCATGCAATGTAGCAGGTATGGGAAAATCCAAACTTCGCATCATTGCCGTACCAAATGAGCAATGAGGAAGGTGGGTGGCATGGGTGGCACTATCTGTAAGAATCTTGGGTGGCAACTGGCACAAAGCTTTCAAAGGCCTTGAGTAACTAAGAGCTGGGACCGCATTCTTTTCTCGCCCTTCCTTTACCTATTCATAGTAGGTATTTGCCTTTTGGAATTTGGATCGCGAATATGACATAAAATTGGGCATTGGTGATGCTAATTAGTGATATTTATATTGGTGATATTTAAAGTATTTCGGTTAACTTATATACTTTTTGGCTGCTATCACGGCGAACTTACTTCAAATGCTGCGCGAGTGAAATGCTTGAAATATGTTCAAAACTCCTGCTGACAGATTGGTATAGAAGCACACATGAAGCACATTGGTCGAACCTGGTCGAACCTTATTTTGTTCGATTTGCGTTTCAATGTAAAATACACACATAAATTCTTATTGTGACATTTGATTTAAAATTTATCAAAGAAAACGTGCTGAACTCAGATTCTTTCCAAAAAATTTATCTTGAAGTAAATGGAAAACACAACGTGAACAGTTCATACAGGATGGTGGGACACGAAATGAACACAATCATTTCAGAAGTGCTTTTGCGCTGCGTTTGTGCTTTCGGCTAGTCACGACGACCGACCTTGGAATCGATTTTGTATAGGTCGTTGTCTTATGTTACTTTTGAGAAGGATTGAAATTGCACGTTCATTCTGCAAAAATGGCTGATAAGGAGGGACTAGTTGCTCAGTTTATGGCAATTACTGGTGTCGACACAGACAGAGCGACTTTTTACCTGGAATCCGCTGGCTGGAACCTAGATGTAAGTTTTCTTGTCTCATCAGTCATCAGGGTGGTTTTTCATGGCAGATCGCTTCAGTGCGCTGCACATCAGCGCATGGGGTTTCCATGGCAATATCAACAAATTTCACTCAGTTCGCTAGCGTGCCGCGGCGGCAGCAGCATGCTAGGAGTATTCACACTCAAACCTCTGTTCTCTTTGTACTTGGTTCTTTAGGACCTCTGTTCCAAATGTGATTCATCATCAGCTAATGGATCACATGCAATGTCATTTAAGTGATGTTATTCAGTTATTGTTTGGTTATGGTATGCTGTAGCTCCCAGCGCAAGCGCGCTGCAGTGCACGCAGCGTTGGATGGTGAAACAGGGCCCAAATTTGATGTGTCATCAGAAACAACATGAATCAAAATCCAAGTATCATATCCATGTTGATGATGTTTTAATGAAGGGCATGTCTCTTTCTTCTGTTTTTGAACACTGGTACCATACCTATGGGTGTCAATTTGTGGAGTCATGGTGCCTGAGCACTACAAATCTGCAGCAACCTTGGGGAAATAATGACCTGTGTCATGTGTTACAGCTTCAAAAGTTAAGCAGGTATGGAATTGGATGAGCTCTGCTAGGGCACCTGTGAGTGGGCAGAAATCATCCATTTCTGGTATGGATACAGAAATGGATACATTCATGGATTCATGGATGGATACATTCATGCTGGTAGTTAGTACAATTCTAGAAGGGAGCAATTACTTGTTACCTGCCTATTCCCTTGTTTATCATTTTGTTGTGTTTTCTTAAGCCTTGGCAGGTAGGTACCTACATTGACATAGTAACTTGCTTGCCTGCTTATGCAATAATTTCTAAATTTCTAAAAAGTGCAACAAACCCTGGGTTTCTTTGGTGACTTGCTGTATCAGGGTCTTCACTTACACTTAGTGTCTGTCTTGGTTTCAGAGGCATTTAAATTGCACACACTATCGAAGGTCATACTTTGTGGAAGCTTGGCCATCTAATCTTGGGAAAATGCATGGTGCAGGCTCCTTTTCTAGCTGAACTTTGCCATGCAACTAATGGCTAATGGGTATAGTTGGCTGAAATTAATTTGGTATGCACAGGATGTCCCTGTATTGTACCTATCTTATCAGATCAAGGATGGGGCCAAATTGGTTGCCTTATTAAGTAGGATATCCCTTTATTAACAAGATGAAGAAGAACTGTTTCTACAATTAAAAGTGTGAACAGGATTTGTAGGTAGTTGATCAGATGATAATAGCTGTAGGACTGTAAGCAGCAGCTTTACTGGAGCCAAAATTGACAAAGGTTTCAAAAGATGATTTTGTCAAAACTATTGAATTATTTACATTTAATTTTTACATGTGCTACACTATTTATACTGTAGTTTCACATACTTACTCTTTTTAAGTGTAATATGGAAATGAATGGCCAGCATGGTACCTGCTGTTTTATTTAAGACTTATTAGTTGGGAGGAAATTTCCCCAAATAGGATGAGGAGATGTTAACAAAGAAAATGAGATAGGTACCAAATAAGTTGCCAATCAGATGATATGCCAGTCTGCAAATAAGTGAATTTTCTCTTAATTCTGGTCAATCATTTTCAAAGTTTTGAACTATGGGTCTGTTCCCGTCGCTCCTCCCAAAAAATCTCGGATGAGGTTGGATGAGCTTGGAGGAGAGCCGTTTCAGAGGGGCCACGGGAACATTTTCGCGAGGAAATCAGCTGTTTGCGGGCTGTAACGGTCGGCGATTTATGGCGCGCAAACATAAATCAAGAGAAAATAATCGCTTTCTAATAAAATAACCTTAGATTAATATCAAACATTACTATTTACAGATGTCCAATCATCATCAATCACTAAAATCATTTCCAACTCCCTCAAATCTCATTTATAAACAATTCACATTTGTATTACGTGCGCCAAATATGTCTACGCAAGAGCCTCCTCCAAAAAACCAACTTTCGTTTGGGATGAGGGAGGAGGCAAATAGTGGTGGTGAGATGTGAAATCAAGATGAGCTTGGAGGAGCTTGGAGGAGCGACGGGAACGATTTTTTGAAACGAGAGGAGGTTAGAGGAGCTTGGAGGAGGTTAGAGGAGCGACGGGAACAAACCCTATGACATGTGCAATGTGAAAACCCTGGCCATGTTACGACTCAAGGTATTGGTGCTCATCAGGCTGCCATGGGGAGTTTCTACGACCACGACGGCGGCGCCGGGGAGCAGGAGCAGCGTGAGGCCGGCGAGGTGACCGGAGCGGCAGCGGCGGGGGCGGCCGGAGGAGGGGCCTCGTCGGACGCGGCTCCGTCCGAGCAGCCGACGCGCCGCTCGCAGCGACAGGCCGGGTGAGTACGAAACTGCAGCGGATGAGTGGTGGGCTGACTGTTGTGCAGAGCGCTGGGTAACGAGGTGAGGGCGTGCTGGGTACTGCAGCGGTTGGTGCGAGGTCTGACCCCTGACAGTATATCGGGTAAATGGAATACTGATGGAGACCCGGGTCAGAATATCGGGCTCTTGCAGTGATTGCTGACTCGACTTTGTGCTGACTTCGCTGGTAAATCGAACACCAAACTCTTTTTACTCGTACCGTCAAGAAACACGCTTATAGGAGTGATTTCATGCGAACCTATTTGATCAAGTTTCCTCTACCAATAGTTTCATTGCATTGCTTGTAACACGGCTGCTTTCTGTGTCCTTGTGTCTCTCGTCTCTCTCGCGCCAATCGACGTCTATCTTGCCAGTCCGTCGGTGTGTGCTCTTGCTGACAGCCCCCCCCCCCCCTCCCTCGCCAGGGCCACAATCCGGACGTTCCAGGGTCTAATGGGTTCGGACTCGGACTCGGACGAGGAGGGACAGGCGTTCTTCGCCGGCGGCTCAGAGACCAGTGGACAGCAGATCCTCGGTCCCAAACGGGGCAAAAAGAAGGGCGAGGACATTGTCAAAGAGATGTTCCAGGCTGCCAAAGGGTGAGGTGTTACGCTGGGCGCGCAGCAGTGGCAAAGTTGTTGTTTCATGTAGTTAGTGTATAGTGAATATGCCACTGGACTAGCCTGTGGATATCTCATTCATTATTCAACAGACGGCTTTGCATTGATTTGGTGCGGTAACTGTTTTGAGTTCCATAAGCTACAAAGGAATATTCTCAGTAGACATTATTTTCATCAAACATCCCTGCTGATCTCTGACCTCATTCGTCTGTGTCGGTCAGTCACGGCTGTTTTGTAAATAAACACGATTTTTATCCAACAATGCCCGGTGATGTCAGTTACGGGTTGGACATCCCCGCCAACCTTTGACCTCATCCGTCTCTGACCTCACCGGCCGCCGTCTCTGACCTGACCGGCCGCCGTCTCTGACCTCAGTCACGGCGCCGAGGAGGTGGATCCGTCCGAGGAGGCGCCGCAGCCGCGCCGACGCGTGTTTGGCGGCACCGGGTACCGGCTCGGCCAGACGGGCTCAGACTCGGAGGTGGTGCCCGGCGCGCCCGACAACCGGCCCCCGCAGCCGCGCACCGTCAAACTGCGGCTCTGGCGCACCGGCTTCAGCGTGGATGACGGAGAGCTGCGCGAGTACTCGGACCCGGCCAACCAGGAGTTCCTCAACTCGGTCCGAGAGGGGTGAGTTACTGTTCAGAGTTGATGTCCGGTCCGGGAGGGGTAGCAAATTTCGTATCGGTTGTGAACAATTGTTGTGACTTATGGTCGTCATAAGCTGACCCCTTTCCGTTCACACTCTGCAGCCAAGTTCCCCTGGAGCTGATTCGGGACGCACAGGGCGGCGAGGTTCACCTGGACATGGAGGACCACCGGCATGAGGACTACGTCAAGCCCAAGGCCAAGCCGAAACCCTTCTCCGGCGTCGGACATGTGCTGGGCAGGTCAGTGACCTCCGAGATAGACGGAGGCGGTGGGGTTTTTATGTTTGACTGTTTTCAGCTGATAGTTGCAGTTTGTGTGTGTGTGTGTTTCTCCTGTTGAAGTGCGGTTGACATTTGTAGTCATTTTCATCCTACGTCCTCTGCATTTGCTCAATTTTCTTGGGATGCATGCTGGTGATTTTGATATGAACGCATGATGCATGAGTTGCTGCTTTGTGCAAATGCCGGAGCGACACTTCCGCACGAGAAACTATCGTTCAATCGCTAGAACGCAGCATGCGACGCCAGAGTTTGACATATTCGGTAGTCGCTGGCGAAAGGGCATGTCACGACGAAAATTCGCCCGTAGCAGCCGCGGCTATAAATGTCGCCAGGGAAGGGCGATATCTGCTTTGGACATTCGTGGGTATACTTCCACTGTCTTGCAGATATTGCTTGTGGTATGGTAGGGGTTTTGATTGGAGTATCGTTGATGTTTTTTTTTACATTAGTCAATGTTTTGGCATCTCCTAATCCCTTGTTCATTTACTGTGTCTTGCCTATGGTGTAGCATGGCATTAGTTTTGCATAACACTTAACCTTGTTCGTCTACTTTCTTGCCAAACCTTTAACATATGGCCGCCGTCGTCAGATTTCTGCCTTTATTGATTGTATATCATTAATTTAAATCGCTTCATTTTGTCGCTGGAGGCGGGTATTTTGAACACCTTACTCAAACTGCTACTCGCCTAACTCCATGCAGTTCTCTTCTCAATCGCACTTTCGCATGTTCTTAAGCCCATGTCCATTGTCCGTCCCTTCTCTTCGAATCAGTCTTTCACGATGCTTTAACTAACCTGCCATATGAAACGCCTGCGTTGCCCCGTCCTCTCCATCCCGCTAGTGACGCCTGCCTGTCTCTGTATCTGTATCTGTCTTTGTGTGTGCGTGGGGTCGGCGCCGTCTGCCGCTGCCGCACTGCGTCATGTTTCAGCCCGTCGGCGGCCGGCGCGGGCGGGGGCGCGGCCGCCGACGGTGGCCACTGGTCTCTCTCGGCCGCCCTGTCGGCCGCTCTCGGTCTCCTGTTCAGCCTGATGGATGTGCTGTGGCGATTCTTCAGCCCGGCACCGGCCGTGGTGGGCGCCGGAGCGGCCTCCTCGGCCCCGGCCGCCGCCGCCTCTGCCGGCGACCCGGCCGCCAGCGAGGCGGCCGCGCGCGCCGCGCTGGCGCTCGACGAGTCGCAGCCGACGACCAGCGTGCAGGTGCGGCTGACGGACGGCTCCCGGCTGGTGGTGAAACTGAACCTGACGCACACCATCGGAGACCTGCGCCAGTACATCGCCACGTATCCTTTGGTGACGCCGCGGACAGGGGCGGAGAGGCGGTCGAGGGGAAGGGAGGGGTTGCTTCATTGTAGACTCGTTTACACTGCAGTTCTTTTTTACTCATTACAGATCAACTTTGTATTTCTTTTAACCATTAATGGGGAAAATAAGAGGGAACACCTTTCAGTAATCGTGCAAATGAGCCAAAAAAAAAGTATTTTTTGTTTACGGGAGAAAACTCGCCGTGTTTATTCAGTACTCACTAGAAAAGCATACATTTCTATTGCACAAGCTTACTCCGACTTGTCTTGTCGGTAATCCCTGTCTTAGATCCTAATAAGGCAGCATTTCACATATACACTTAACAGCGTATTAAAGTGCCCTCATTATTCTATAACACCTTCATCGCGGTTTACTCAGATATTGTCTAATCTACGAAAGCCTCACGATTACAATCATGCACCTCGTGAGATTTCCCCCTTCAATACACACCCTCCTTGAGACAATGCGCCCGTATACGACCCTACCACCAGACTGTTGCCCATCTTAGTCGCCGCATTCCTTAACTCTCTGTATCAGTGCGCGCCCCCACCTGGCCACGCGGCCGTTCGCGCTTCTCACCACCTTCCCCAGCAAGGAGCTGACGGACGACAGCGTCACAGTAAAGGACGGTGCGCTGCTGAACGCCGCCATCCTGCAGAGGGCCCAGTGATCGACCCACAGCCGTGTGCCACGCTCAGGACGACTCTGGTGTTACCGGGCCCGGTCCGGTCGGCTCGAGCTACCGCTGGACTCTGCGAGACGTCCCGTAACAGACTGATACAGAAAACGAACTACCGTGATGTGGGGCCAGGATCTGAGACGACTGCCCGCCGCAGAGGGGTTTACACAAATACGCAGAGTTATGATGGTAAAATACATTTCGCACACGGACTAGCCTACATTTAGGGCATTCACGTCGGGTCATCAGCAAGTAAAGAGTCACGATCGTTTCGTGAGCCTGCCTACAAACCAAGCTACCCCAAGGTTCCAGCACGGTGGCTTCCCGCGCGCGCTCCAATATAGCACCTGTCGCGCGTGGCTGCGCTCGCGCGCGTCTATCACATTCAGTCCTCGGCGGCACTGCCACAGCCCAGCCGTCTAACCGCCTGCGATGGAAGACTCTGACTCCGCCCAGCCGGCGGAGCTCCATCAGTCCGGGCGGCCTCGTCATGCTCTCAGCCAGTGAAGGCCTGCAGTCCAGTGATGGCGCGGCCCAGGATCAGCGCGTGGATGTCGTGCGTGCCTGCGGGGAGGAGCGGGACGGTCAGAAGCGGCGGTCACATACCAGTGACGGTGGGGCTCGGCCCCGTAGGCGGGGATTTCCGGTATATTCTCTGCTGTGTTGGCCGGCGGCGACCGTCTAGTGTCCACGGACATCGCCGCCGGCTTCCCGACTGCCCACAGCAGTCGCTCTTGTGATGATTGTGCAGTGTTCTTGGTAAAATAAAACTATGCGTAAGCTGGCTCGGATAGTTGTCAATTTTCAGAATGTCAATTTTCAGAATGTCAATGTTAATGTTATGTTAATGAGACATCGACGATATACCGCGAACGACAGATTTCTTACGTTGCAACTGTACACTGCCAACTTCGTACTATCACTACAATTATCAGTTGCTAAATATCACTCACTTCCGACTAGGACATTCTTCAAATTCGAGACACGCAGTTCTCACAGACATGTCATATCGCAGAACACAAACAAGGCAAAGGATCTAGCTCTTCTTCTATCCTCACCTTCATAGGTGTTGACGGCCTCGAGGTTCATGCAGTGTCTGATGATGTGGTACTCGTCGCTGATGCCGTTGCCTCCCAGCATGTCGCGGCACTGTCGGGCGATGTCCAGAGCCTTGCCGCACGAGTTGCGCTTGATGAGCGATATCATCTCGGGAGCAGCCCTGTGGCACACACGAGGGTGGGTTGGAGTGAACGTTGGATCATGGGTAAGACATGAGGAGAGAGTGGGTTTCACAGAAACGAACATAGCCAGATCGATTCAAGAAATGAAAATACAGTTTTTGGCCTGTTTTTTTTTTTTTTTTTTGATATATCAGAATCTCGGAACAAGTTAATAATATGAGGGGCAGTTGACTGTACAGTGTAGACTGTAGAGTAGAGCTAATCCGTGTGTTGCGTAACATAATTTCGTTTTCACTACATTACATAACAAACGCGTGACACTCACGTAACACTCAGCGGCGCTATAGTCCTTCCATATGCCTCAGTCACATATCCCACTTTTTAGGCGTCTGTTCTCAGACATAAAAACTGCGTCGTCGGTCCGAAGGTCATGGCCTGCGGTCAGTCATGGGACGCCGGGGAGGGGAGGGGAGGGAAGACATCCCTGGCGGACTGCCCGGGCCGGGGGCTCGCCTCCTATAAATACTACGGTCCGGCGGGCGGTCTGGGTCGCGTGGGCTGGGCTGTGACGTAAGGACACACCCTCGGACTGCAGAGATGCGACTGTAGATTCAGAGGATCGCTGCGATACGGATCCATGGTTGATGTTTATCGAAAAGTCTTAACGCAAGGTTTAGTGTTTCCATTCTCTAACTCCACCGTTTTTCTACGCAACCAACAATAAGAGCCAACAAAGCCGTCCTGCCTGCTGGCCTAAGTCGTCCAACCCTTCCTTCGCACCGACCCCCCATCCCCCCTACCCTTGTCCGTCCCACCCTTCCTCCACTCCCAACGTCCTCTCCCTTCCTCCCCTGCTCCCTTTACTCACAATCCCTGGTCCTTGAGCCGTCCGACCTGCAGGCAGGCCATCAGGCCCACGTTGATCTCCGTGAGCGCGTCGGCCATCTTCTTCTGAATGAGCTGCGTGTTGGCCAGCGGCCGGCCAAACTGCTGACGGTCCAGGGTGTACTGACGGGCCGTGTGCAGACACGCCTCGGCGGCGCCCAGCGCGCCCCACGCGATACCGTACCGGGCGTTGTTCAGACATCCGAACGGACCCTGAGGAGCAGACGAGAGAGGAAAGGTCAAAGCGGAGGACGGAATTTCATTCATACTCAGCTCATGATGTTAGTAACAAGTATTCCATTGATTCCATCAACCACTATTTCGCATAGTAGGTCCTGTCTGTTTACCCGATCTATGCAAATTCGTCATCCCTCCCCCCCAACACACAGTCAGCTCCCACACCATTGTCAATCATCCCCTCCCCCCTCCAGACCCTATCTCATCCTTTCCCCACCTTCAGTCCGTGAACGTTGGGCAGCAGGTTGGCCTCCGGTACCACGACGTCATCCAGCACGATCATGCCGGTGGTGGAAGCGCGCAGAGAGAACTTGCCCTGGATCTTGGGCGTGTTGAAGCCGGGCATGCCGCGCTCGACGATGAAGCCGCGGATGCGATTGTCGTCACATTTGGCCCATACGACGGCAATATCGGCGATCGGAGAGTTGGTGATCCTGTCGGGCGAAGGGGATGGGGTAAGTTTGGGGTAAAAGTGCGCAGTAGAGATAGTCACTTGTAAAGGTGGAGAGAACCGATTCGAAATGATCAGCACAGAGAGTGTGGCGAGCCAATGGCATGAAACATGCAAATAAAACGCTAACATGTCGACAAAGATGAATTTTAAGTCAGATTTTTCTCCTTTCTTTACGACTGTGAAACTCGCCATTTGACATAGGCATATAATGAGTCATGCATGTCAAACTGCCACAAATCAGCGCTTCCATTACACTTTTCTCGAATCCATTCTGATGGCACGTATCTGTGCACGCATAAATCACATCGATAAATCGTTCTACCATTCCGATGTGTGCACTGTGCATCTCACCAAGTTTTCGATCCGTTGAGCAGGTATGTGCCGTCCGCCGCGTTGTATTTGGCCCTGGTTTCCATCCCAGCCGGGTCGGAGCCATGGTTGGGCTCCGTGAGACCGAAACAGCCCACCAGCTCGCCGCGCGCTGTAACGGAGCGAAAAGATGCGGTTAGTGCATGGGATGTAGGCGAACGGTGACGGTGGCAAACAGCGGAGACGAGCGAAATATTATACTGAAAATACTCATTATACGACGTGAATGCATAGTAGCTGTGGAAGCTAGTGGCGAGACCAAAGTGCGATAACGATAAAAATGGAAAATTGTTATTTACCACAGTGGTATCAGGTATCTATTTTTTGCACTTTCAATAATACCTTATGTGGGCTATTAACTCACACTAACCATCGTCCAACTCAACTATCGTCTCCCGTTCTATTTCCACACCGGATAATCCCTAAAAGAAACTCATCAACGACACCCTACCCAGTATGGAATCCTTACCGAGTCTGGGGAGGAACCTCTCCCGCTGCTCTTCCGTTCCGTAGTCGTAGATGGGGTACATAACCAGGGAAGACTGGACGCTCATCGCCGACCTGTAAAAAAACGTCACAAATGAGTAATAACCCTATGATCATCATGGCACAACACTGAACCAATCGGACCGATCGCGCTCCGTTCAACAAATTTAGCCTTGTAAGCCACCGGCCGGTGGCCAGCCCACAACACCCATCCCTCGTTAGGCCCCGTACTCCGTCATTTACAGAGCTCAGCCACATGATTCAATCATGTATCACCCCAATTTAGTCGTGTCTGCTCGGCTACAACTGACCTGTAAGCGCTGTCGACTCGCTCCACCTCCCTGGCAATGAGTCCGTACGCCACGGACGACACGCCCGGGCAGCCGTAGCCGTGGATCGTGGGGCCCAGCACCCCCAGCTCGCCCATCTCGGTCATGATGTCCCGGTCAAACACTGTGGGATAAGCACTGTTATTGACACACTCCAACAGAGATTTGATGACACACAAGAGAACATGGATATCCAATAGAAAGCAACAAAAACATTTGGTACTCAACTCACTAGATTGCTCACTTCAGGGAGTCAGGAAATTTTGAATGGGAAATCGCATAAAAAGCAAATGCAATGGTCTGCTTAGGGCCAGCTAACACCTCAGGCGTGACCAAGAAGAGGTGGAAGAGTCTTAACCTTCATTCCTGTTGGCCATAATGATTCTGGACATCAGCTTCTCCTGGCAGTACTGTTTGAATGTGTCCCGGACCATGATCTCTTCCTCTGTCAGCTGGCTCTCCAGGTTCAGTGCATCACTCCAGTCAAACTTAGCCCACTGAGTGGGTGCCTTTTCCACTATCTTCTCAGCTAAAATGAGACAAAGAAAACAGTAACACACAGCTTATACAGCATTTAACTCATCACAATCCAAAGTGACACACATTCAGCACAAGGTCAGTTCAATATACAAGGCTCATGAGATTTAACTTATTGGTGAACTGTAGATACCTGGCTTGTTGCTCTGATGGCGCTTGCACATTGTTGACCATATGCTGGACACAGGGGCCACGCCAGCCTTTTGTCTCAGAACAATCTGGCCCAAGAGCCCCAAAGCTTTGCTGGAAGACATCTGAAATGAAAGGCACATTTCAGGACTTGCAATTGTAATGCAACTGGGACTACAAATAAACAATTAAACCTTGGTCAACTAAAGCATGTTTTAGCAGCATAACCATAAGCATAAGCCTAAGAATAAGCATATGCAAAGCGGAGCCAGCATGAAATATCATTGTTATACTGGGCTAAGAATTCAAATTCGGTTATATAACGATAAGCCAAAGGAAGCTGGCATCCAACACTGCAGCTATAAAGGCATTCCCATGTCAAAAGCTTGCAGCATGTAGGTTAGGGTGGCACTTAGCAATAGGGTGAATTTTATGTTATCCGATTTTTAGGCGTGCGGGTAGTTTTCTGGTTCCATTCCCGTAAAAAATAATGTGTGCAAAATGATTTTGAAAAATATTGATATTTAGGGGTCGCGAATTGAGGTCAAAGTTGGCAGTTTTGGGGAAAAATTCAACTTTTTGGAAACTACTTTAAACCTATTTGGAATGACATATGTGGTCATTAAGCGTCATATCCGACGTATTTTGACCTTTATTTGTATAACAATTGCTTATCCCATCACTTTCGGTCGATCGTAGCCAGTCCAGGTCAGGCCAAGACAGGTCTGATCTGGGCTGTTTTACCCATGTCAGGCCTGTTTTTGGCCTGCGACCGGTGCCTTCTCACAGTGGAGGTCATATCCTCTTATAAGTGTGAGGAGTGAACGGTCTCTCCTGTTCCAAAGGGAGGACGAGCCCCACAGTTCTATCGGTTCTTGAGACATGCTCCTTTTCTGTCAAAGAGAATGTGAAGAAGTTGGAGTCAGCCTATCGCCGGCGGGGGAAAGCAGAGGCGAGAGTGGGCATTGAGCTGCACTGGTTTATTGTGCTTTCGGGATGTTCTTCCGTGGGCGCTTCTTCAGACTCTACATAGTGCCAGTGCCAGCAACAGACTTACCCGGCCGTTGCGGCGCGCACACGGAGGGAACGTCTTTGACGATGGCGACCATGAGAGAGAAACGTCGACTCACACTCCCAAGCGCATGCGGGCGAGCGGACGTCCCCAACAGTGAACTGGCCTCGACCGGGCCAAACTGCCCAACCGTAATGTGTGAAGAACACGTGAACCTGTTATCAACTGCGGCACGGAACTTCTGATACGACTCCGGCTGAACCGCGAGAGAAGGAGCGTCGACCGATTCTAGGTCCTGGTGACGGGGAGGGGGAGGGATTGGGGTGTCCAAGCTCCTCGCCGTTCCCAAGCTCCCCTCCATCCAAGCACAGGAGGCCATGCTCACAGCGCTGGGGGGCTAGGAACTGGAGAAGCGGAACTGCGGCCTTTTGCTTCGACGCCACGACGGCGAACAGCATGCTGGTGAACGGTACTTTAGCCCTTATCGAGCAGAAGCTGGATCGGCCCGTCCTCCAGCTGGCCTGCCGGCACCACGTGTAAGAGCTGGTCCCAGAGAAGGCCTTCTCCACCTGCCGTAGAATCTCGAGCGGCCTCTACATCCGGCTGTTTAAGAGGTTCAAAGGCGGGTGGGAGTTCATGCTTCATTGACAGGATCATACCGGTGGCGTTCGCCGTCGACGACGTTCCGGAGTGGGACAAGCTGCTGGTCAGCTTCCATCGCTTCCATCGCTGGACTATGCCTAGCTCCGGGAAGACTACCGAAAACTTCTGGAGCTCTGCGTAACTGCTCTCGGTGGAATTCCAAGCACGGCATCCGTTTCTCCACCTCAGAGTACTCCACTGAGTTAGGTGGATGGCAAAGACCATCCGTACCGTGGATGCCTTCCTCTTCAGGGAGCGGCTCCGGCTGACGGCGGCCGAGGCCCAGGTCATCAGACGCTATGCGCTGTTCGTTGCCTGCAAGTTCGCCGCCGCCGCCGCCTGGTCTGGGACTCTACTGCCATTGCGCCGGCTCTGGACCTGACCTTCGTGAACTCGCTCTGCACCTACCCCGGCAAGGAGCTGTCGAAGGCGACAGTCCCGGTGGCTTCGGCCGTCATCTGTAGTAATTGAGTGATCGGCTGGTGACTCTGGAGCTTTTAGACCCCGACCCTCGGGCTCAATCAAGACATGGTGCGGGCAACAGACTTGTAGGAGAGGGGACCCGCCCCATAAGTCCTTAGTGAACGCCGCTCTCGCGACCGAGACGTTGGCGAGCTTCCTAACACCATCGTTCAAAAAGCTCTCAAGGATACACGACCTGGACGCGGGGCTCATCATCAATGACCAAGGCCAGTGGGAGGACAGCAGCTACCAAACCGCAGCTCGTGTAGTCCGGGAGCTGCGGGTGGTGAATGACTTCACCAGGCGCGGTATGGCGCTGATGTAGGACTGGCACTCATGGAAGACAAAGATTAGCGCCAGTTCTTCCTCCATGTCGTTGAAAAGATCACAGAAAACGCTAACCTGACACCCGAAGATCGACTGCAATTGCTAACCAGGCTACACACAAAGTGATCTGGGTGCCCGTTGCCCATGATACCCCTCCCTCCAATGAGGCGCCAATAATCTACTAAAGAGGAGGAACTGGAGTAGTGGAGTTCCGAGACCAGCGTTCTGGCGTGGCCGAAGCTGCATGGAATATCAATAAACAATATGAAAATGACTAAGAAATGCCTTATTATCATCCGATTATGGCGTAATAGGAAACTCAGAAGCGATTTTAATGATATTGAAATATGCTACCAAAATCTCAATTTTGACCTTGATTCGCGACCTCTAAACATCAATATTTTCCCATACAAAATTGCCTCCCTTATTTTTTACGGGAATGGAACCGGAAAACCACCCGCACGCATTAAAAATCAAAAATTGATTTTTAAGTGCCACCCTAATGTAGGTATATTCACCTTTAGCAGGAGAGCCAATTGTACAAAGTCACTTCAAATCGCTGAGCTGTGGACGAATTCACAATCGGAGACGTCCCAATCTTCTGCACCCCTGCACCTTCGAGCCAGGGAGACACCGGTTGGTCACGTGACTCGGAAACAAAAATCAGCTGATAGAGTGGCGGAATCGCCGTAATCAAACACGAATAATTCCGGACGATAGAGCGGCAGTATGGGAGTTTTCTTCACAACAGGCAAACATTGCAATGTTTTATCATTTTATGATCAAGAAACGTTCATAAACCATATATTTCTTCGATGATTAATGCCGCAACCGCCGCGCACATATCGTAGCCAGCGCATAAAGCCGCATAAAGCTTTGCGATATTAAATGTAAAGAAAAACATTCTATATCTTGCTTCAACCTTCTACTTACGCTTTTATAATTACGACAGCGACACCATACGGCCTATCGACGCTATGCAACTCCATGGAGTGTCCGGCCGCACTCTTCCGAGTGTGCCGAGATCAGAAGCGGACCATCCGCGGCACGTCCAGCTGCTAGAGGTGGCAAAATGTGGACCCGAGGACCCGGTCCAAAGAACCAGTCTGGACCCATATGGGTCCAGACCGGTTCCTGGAAATTTTCTGACGGGTCCAACCGGGTCCTACCATAAACTATACATCTTGCACACTACACATTATTGCAAATTATGAAGTGAATGAAGTGAATGTTTCTTTGCACACAGTAGCTCATGAGTATTCCCAGTGGGAAATAGGCTGTTAATGTTATACATGATGCAACTAATAATGTCTACAAGAAGTTTGTATTAATTGACTTTTGGGGACCGGGTCCAACTGGTTCCGATTCCAACTAAGACCGGGTTCGACTGGTTCCAGAAATGTCCAGCCGGGTCTGGTTCGAGTCTGGTTCCCAAAATTTTCATCTTTTGCCACCTCTACCAGCTGCACTGCCCGGTCGCTGGGAGGGCGACACCTAGCGCCGCTCTGGCCGCTCGCTTTGGCTACGCCTGTGGGAGGGGAGGAGGAAGACCAACAACAGTCTGATGAGCCAATGGAGTCTGCGAGCCACGCCAATCAGCGCCCTTCCGCGCGCAGACGGGAGCTAGAGCTATTCATCTCCTTTCCTGTTTTCGCTGGTCCGCCAGTCACCAGCACCGTTCCGTACTCTCGATCGTAGCCATTCAGCCGTGTTGTCCTATACAACAACAGTCAGCAGCCTCGGATCGCGCCAGTTGGCCGCCAGAGAATCTATATTATCTATTTGCCGTACAGCATTGCAAGCGTTACAGTGTTTGCAGCCGGGTGTAATCAGTAGTTGACACATTTATGTTTTGTATCACAAAATTAAAAAATTCATTGAAATATATTCACTTTAATTTGCATACAGCTTTTGATTCTTGACGCGGATTGTTAGCCCTTGCTACATCAAACAGCCAACATCCATATTTCTGTTTCCAGAGCTGCAGTGCTGGACACCGAAAGTACATTATGTTCTAATAATTCAATCCAAAGGTACATAGATTTCACGACAAACTTCTAGGTTCCAGAGCAAGTATTTTCTCGCCAGAAGCGCGCGATTGATTGCAGCTGGCGCGCTCACGATAACTAATATCGCGCTCGCCAAAACCTGCCGGTTACAGCCACTCACACCTTACTTCCAACCTCCGTCCCATTTATCATTTATTAGCATATCGAGACAGAATGAGACTACGACATAATCGTCAAATTATATAACACAAATTGCGGGACGTCATCGGAGAGCCCGTTACAATACCAAACCCCAATCTCGGCCAACACCGTTGGGACGGGGCGGGGGGGGGGGGCAGGAAGGGCTTGAAGCTGGGGGACGTATCGGCGTATCCTTCATAGACACGGGTGTTTCGCAACGCTGGAGCGTCGAGCCGAATTCGTCTCAATCGCCGCACTAACACAGCAGCGCTGCGTAGCGCGCTGCAGTACGCTGCCGTGAAACAGGGCCCAGGAGTCGGATGGTCGCGGCGGCGGCGGCAGCGTGGAGCCCTTGAACGACGCCATCAGCTCGAGCACCGGCGACTAGTGACCTGTAACAGAGCGAGTCGCGTCACGTCACGTCGTCACCTTTCAGTCGCGACGGCCGTTATATAAACAGTTACTGAGAACATCACGTACCAGCCACGGCGACCGTCACATTACAGTCACGGTGATCGTCACACAGCAGTCACGGCGACCGTCACAGGTCACGACGGTCATCAAATACCAGCCACGGCGAGTATGACTCATAGTCACAACGTCTTCTGTCGCACACTCAGTCATAATTACAGTACATTAGCCTGTGCATAAACATCTCATCCAAGAAGTCCAAGCCCGATTATTACCCGCGTGGGGCTGCGGTTCGGTGGCGTGCGCGACCGGCCCGACGGTTCAACGCCAGCGCTTACAGCGGGTCGATCCCTACCAGTTCAACTGGCAGCTCACCGACACGGACTGGACACCTGTGTTAAAGCAGCAGAGACCTACGGAGAAGTGGGAGGAATTTTGCAGGATTTTCCTATCACAACTCGACACAGTGGCCCAGGCGTCCACAACTCGACACAGTGGTGACCAAGGCGCAGCTGCGCCCCCCCCCCCCCCGGTTCACACAATTACTGACCTGGAGATAATGTGATGGTTTCTGGACAATGTGGCTTGATACTGGCCACCACACTCTGCAACTTTCTGCCAGGTGACGTCCTTCAGCTGGATCGAACCGCTGTCTTCAGAACCGCCGACAGCAACGAGCCTGTTGAAAGATAACATGCTCAGCACTAAAAAACCACAAAGCATACAATGGAAACGGCTAAGCTGGCCACAGGCACGGTACACAACGGCGGTCTTTTATGCTAAGACAGTTCCATCGCCACAAAAGATTGCAAATGGCTATGTTATAAAACTCAGATGTCACATATCTAGTCTGATAATGGATACCTGGCCGCACGTCATGTGGATGGCAGCATGGCTTGAGCTGTGTGCTTTGGCATTTCCATGATGAGGTATATTACACTACGCATTCGCGATGGCCCACAGTGATAAAATTGTGGTAAATGGATTTTCCCCTCAGTCCTCTTCTTTTATTCCAACCCTTATTTCTCACTGCCGTTTGGCTGAGGCACCTTGAGGCTTGATGCAGAACGAGAATGCCTATGTCGTGTGGCACACCTTTGATGAGCGTCTGTCCCAGCCAGCATCTGTTAGTCAGCAGGGGCTACTGGCTAGATGGCTGTGCATTAGCAGACCCCTCTGTCAAGCTGACTTGGCTCAGAAACTAGCAGGAGGTTGAGTGTGCATCCTACGATGGGTAGCTGCTCATCTATGTGGCTCTGTGACACAGGATCAGCCTGAGAGAGAAGAAAGCCAGTCAAGGCAGTAATGGGATGTTGCCAGACTGGCAAAATAGTAAGTACTATGCCACAAGTTACAAAATCAATTTAAAGTTTTGTTGGGTTGGGCTCTTTCAAGTTTTGGCACAAAAAGACTACAGAGTTGGAGGAATGATAGGAATTAGGGGGAGCTATTGGTATGGGCAAGCACCCTGATACAAGTCATTGGGTTGGGGCTGAGCCCATCCAGTGGACAGGGCACCCAGCCCCTGACACTGCACCTGGCTCTGTGTATGCTCCTAGGGGAGCTTCCCACATGGGATGAAAGTGTCTGCCCAGCCCAGAACAGGGGGTTGAGGCATAGAGAAGGATTTCTGGTATTCATATAGCAGGCATCTCACATGCTGCCACCCATTTGTGAAGTCGCTACACTCTCCAGTTCTTGAGACATTTACACAAAATTCGCTTTTAATTCTAATCAAATACCTACCTAGTCTAACAGAACATAGCATTATCTAACCTGACCTAACCTTACCTACTAAACTACAACCTACGGTTTATGGTAAAGCTGGCGTCACCATCAGTTGGTAGGGTGTAGGGTATAGGTTAGTATGTTAATAGCCAATAGGTAAGGTTAGGTAAGGTTAAATTGTTTTTAAATTTCAGCTTCCTTTTATCTACACATTTACTGGCTAGCGCTGAAGGTGACTCCAGCTTTATTGACACCCCGTCAAGTCCGTCACCAGGGTACTGGTGTTTCACCGGTGATAGCAGCATGCTGCTATTCTGCTGACGTCACACTTGTGGTTGTGTTGGAGCAATGTGAATGGGGCTTGTTGATGTCTCTATGGAAACCTAATTTGACACATGTAATAACTAATAGCAGCGTGCTGCTATCACTATCACCGGTCACGTCAACTGGCCGTTGGGGCAGAGCATACTTGGTAGGATAATTACCACAACTACAAGACAAATCAATCAAAACATCAACTACCTTTGGCCTTGGCCTAGTTACCTTTTACCTATTTTGATTTGAATCTCATTCTCAACTGAACCACAGAATTCAGAAAAGGATCTAAAACACAAAATCACCCAGCCTGGTGCTCGCACAGGCAAAATCTCAGGAAAAAAAGTTTTTAAACAAGGTACCAAACCAACACCTACCTTCCATTATTTATAGTCACAGTGCCTTCAATCTTTACCTAACAAAATCAATTCAAATAACAGACCCCACTATAGAGTTCAGTGTAACAGACAAAACAAATAACATAACCGATGACAAAATACAAATTAAAACAAAGGTGTTCTCCATCAGCAAACGAAATGCCGTTCAACCAATCGAATGCAAAGACATGCGTCTGCTAGCGACAGAGGTATATTAGCAGCATTTACAGTACAGTGGACAAAGCACAACTGAGGGTGGTCTGCGGTTTTCAATACCGAAATTCGTAAATTTCCCAAGTTCATCTTGTTTTATGACTCATATCAAAAGATAGAGAATTCTTTTATGTTAATTATTAAGGTTGAACCAGACACCGACATTGTCTTGTTTTTTAGTAATATTCCATTAATTGTCATAGTGTTACCTTCAGCAGAATGGAAGATCATTCAATCTAGGCCAAAAAAATATACCTTACATCTTCGAAACTGCAATGAAATATGCGGACTTTTAAAGAAAAATGAATTTTCATTTTGATATAGACGTTTTAAGGGCATATGCCTAACAAGTTTACCAAATAGAGATGTTTTTGTTCAGGAGTAATCGGTTCCAAAAAATATAAGTTCGAGATTCGTAAATACATTTCTAAAATTTCCCAACATCATAGCGCTTCAACGTTTTGATAGGTAATAGCGTTACCAATTTTGTAAATTTTGGTAAACTTTTTAGACACCGACATAGTCTAGTTTTCGAAAAATATTACATTTAGTGGAACAGGGTGACCAAGGACACCAATGGCGGTGGTGCATTCAACATCAACTAAATGCAGTTTCCAATGCTTAAAAAGCAACAAAACTGACATAATCTGAAAGAGAATTTAATTTTGATATTTATTGACCATGATTGAAGCCCCACATCACTGAAATTACTCGCATATTCATGGTAGAGTATTGGCAGGTCCGGTAGGCTAAACAGCTCAGAACCATGATAATTTCGAAATTCAATCAAAGAATGTCGGCCTTCGATATTACTTTTTGTCCTTCAATTTCAAATTTTGACTGTGAAAAATTAATTTCGTCCATGAACGAGCTTTGCGTTTTAAGATATATAATTTTTGAAATGGCGGAGATAGCCAACAATTTATTTTCGTTAACGCTTCACAGATTCATACATGGCGTGCTGTCTGATCATAAATCAAAAATATATATACAAATAATAAAACTCATTGAAATGTGTTGCTTAGTTCTCTTTTTTAGACTTTAAAGGTCAGCTGAAAATAGTGGTCAAAATACCTTAGTGTTGTAATTTCGAACCGGTTTTACCTAGTTCTCTATCGGGGTTACATGAGCACAGTAAATACGTATTTAGCCGCTAATTCGAATTAGGAACGCATTACCGACTCATGTAGCCACCTGCTAGTACGAATCGGTGATCCGATCCGCGGTTACATGAGCAAAGCAAATACGTATCACGATCGGATTCACCGCTAATGCGAATCAGGAGCGTACTACCGACTCATGTATCCACCTGCTAATACGAATCGGCGGTCCGAACAAAATCCGCAGGGAAAGAGGCTTAGAAGCGAATAGGACCAAGATACGTATTACAGGAACTATTTCTTTCCAAAAAGAAACATTAAAATGCAAAATAATGGGTATTTTTTTCATTTGCTTCTTTTGAAATAATAATTGAAAAAATATGTCGGTATTTTGTCAAGTTCTCACAAATAAATAGAGTGAAAACCAAAAAGAAAATATCAAAGTACTTTCAGTTGAAACATTTTTCTGACAGCACTAGGACGAATCAAGAGAGGCAAGTGCTCAATGAGTCGAAGCAAGACAACTTTATGTTTAACTTTTTTTTGTTAAGTTAATTGAGAATGTTTTGAGCAGATTTAAATGCAAAAAAGACATAAGATATTAAGTTTTTAATTTAGTCACCTCTATTGCTACGGAAGTGCGCCACATTTGTATGCTATTCCGTTTGTAATGCGCATCGGGCCGAGAGCCAAACTAGATCCGTTTGACGTCACTGATACGAATTTGCTCATGTAGTCGGTGCACTGAATGCGTTCTTGGGGAGCTGATTCGAATTAGCGTAGTGCGTATTTGGAACGGATCGCTCATGTAACCGAAACGTCCGAGGCACACGATTCGGGCCGTATTTCACAAGGACTATTCTTTGCTGACTGGAAGCGTCAAAATGCAAAATACTAAGCATTTTTTATTGGCTGCCTCGTAGAAAATAGCAAAAAAAATGTTGGTATTTTGGTTTAGTCTTTGCATGTGAAATAAAATGAATGAAATATTTTTATAGATAATTTTTTCTGACCACCCTGCTGTCGCTGCATGGCGAATCAGTGCCCACTGACTTGAAACAAGAAAACTTTGTTTTCATTTTTTGATTTCATGTTAATTTTAAATGTTTTTGAGCCTATCAATTGATATAAGTATTTAAAATTTAGCTCAGTCGTCCCGGTAAATGCCGCAACTGCGCCATGACTGTACGCTAATCCTATTCCGTTTGTGATACGAATTACCGGCCGTCGAGGAGTCAGCCCGGGTGAGCCAAACAAGATCCGTTTGACGTAGATAAAACGAATTAGTCTCATGTAACCGGTGCCGTAGATCCGTTTGTGGGGAGCTGATGCGCATTAGCGTAGTGCGTATTTGGAACGGATCGCTCATGTAACCCCGGTATATATACCGTGCTTCGAGCGCGGGCGGGGCGGGAGCGGCGGGGGGATAGAGGGGGAGGGAAAATCGGAAGCGGGGAGGAGGGCAAGAGGGGGAAGAGGGGCGGAGGAAGTCGGGGTAAAAGAAAGGAAGGGGCCCCTTACTAGGCCTAAATAAATAATTTTTTCTTCATTTCATTTTTATTTTTTCCACAAATATTGATTCGCTTTGTTTTTCAGCCAGATACCAAAACAAATATATTTTTGAACTTGCATTCCGTTTTTGATTCCATCCATCACTAGCCTGTCAGCTGTAGCCAAGGCGTTTATATAGCCTTGGCCAAGGCTATACTGTAGCTGCCTGCGACGAAAAACAACGTGTGGGGTGAATGGCGAATCGCCCGTTTTGCTGAAGAATGACTCAAGGAGCTACTTGCGCTCAAGAAATGGCTTGGCAACCAAATGAAGATGGTTTGAAGCAGATTTTGCAACTTCTCAAGGAGTCGCAATCGCCTAATACGGAAACTCAGGCGGCGGTGCAACGTGTATCCTTTTCATAGGTTCATCGACCGTTAGTGAAGGGCGAAAAGCTTACGTCCATTTGTTTCTTGCTTGGAAGGCTTATTTGACATTGAATTGGTGCTATGGGTTGAATTATATAGTTTGCAATTAGTATTTGGATGTTTTTTTTACCTCCAAAGCTTATGCGCCGCATTTGTCACGTCTCATCCTGCATTGCAATTTTAATGCTAAATCTTATTATGTGGTATCATAAGGAAATAAGTGTATGTTCTTTACATCTGCAATTACTTTTTTCATTATCTCACTGCTGAACTTGCTTAGAAACTCAGGAAACTGCCTTTTAAAGGTCTCGGGTTTAAAGTTTTGACTTCCGAGATATTGTAAATCCAACTAGCGGCAATATGTATTTAATGCTAATAAACACGCATGAAATACCAAAATTATTCTTGCATATAAGAGTTTAGATTAGCTATCAGTGACTCTGAATCTTGTTGCTAGCTTTCAATTGCTTGTGGCATATCATGCCATCATTATTGATTAAATTTGAATTTAGCTTACCTATGGAACACCATTGACATTATTTCATCACTTATTTTATATTTTAGTAATGATATCATTTTAGGCTAGTGAATTCTGTTTTTCTAGATATTAAGAGTTCTTGGAAGCTGTTCCAACTTTCTGGATATACCTACTCTGCTTATTGCTTAGGGGTTACTAACACTTTCTACCTATTTAATAGGCATTTTAAAGACAGAAATGCCTGACATGAGCTTCATGAATGTTGTATTACTTACTTGTCACTTGCTTAAATGCAGTGCTGTATGCTGCTTCTGATCAGTAGAAGCAAGTGTGTCATACAATCCATTACAAGCATATTGCTTTTTATCTAGACATCGGCACATTTATGTAATGGCCCTGAAATAAATAAGATGGACTCCTCAAGTCAAAACTGTTATAGAACTTTATTTAGTTATTCTTGCTTTTGAAGTTAAGTTTACCTTTTTCAATTATGTGTATGTCTTTTAATGAAGTTTCAAACCATAAATACCCTTTCTCTTGAGGCCTGTACCTTTATGGTCCAGGAAAAGAGTTAAAAAATCTTTATACAAAGAGAGCATGGCACACAAACCTATTCCCTAGAGGATTTGTGCTGTTTGACCACAAGTTTTTCATGATTTTTATCTCATGATTTATTTTCCATTAACATTTTGTTTCATGCTTTATGAACTTACGGCACAAAGATGTGAAACAAATATTTTGACATTCATATGCACCCAAAACACAAGAACAAACTCAGGTGAAAGAAAATGAAAAATGAAAAGTTAAGATTTTTTAGTTTTCTTTTTCCCTAATCATTCTGGTTATTTTAGGAGAACCACTATAAGAGTGAGCTATGCTATTTTATCATGCACACATTATTTGTTGAATCCTTGACAGCAATTACAGAGACTCGAGGAGCTCAACAAGTACCCTGATTTCAACAACTTCTTGGTCTATGTCCTCACAAAGCTGAAAACTGAGGGTAAGTTGAAGGTACCATCATTCTGAGAAGTGATTCAACTCTTCATATAAATATGGTCATTGGAGTTTTTTGTTTGGTTTTAGTTTCTGTGATAAATTTTTGATAACCTTAATGTTATATTATTACAGTCACTTTGTGGTTGAAGCTTAATTGTCAAATGTCACAGATGCATACTCAGTAAACATGCAGACTTAAGTTTGTGCTTTATACTGGTTATGTGACTGACAGAATGGTATCTTTGCTCCCAATTGTAGATGAAGCAACACGGTCCCTGAGTGGACTGATATTGAAGAACAATGTGAGGACATACTTCCAGAAGCTACCACCTCAAGTTGCTAGCTTTATCAAGCAGGAATGCCTGAATGCAATAGGAGATCCCTCACCCCTCATCAGGGCAACCATAGGTACTGTTATTTTATTAATATTTCAGAGTACCCTTGCTGATACATTTTTATTATAGAAATGAATACATAAATGTGTACCATTTAGTCTTCATCATGTTGATAGGCTTAGTTTTACTTTTGGTATTTTTTAGGAAATCACTCACAAATTTATGACCACCATTTTGCATCCTCGCCATGGCAAAATGCTTTCTGAATTCCCTTTTGTTTATTTCTGTGTAAATGTAAATGTATGGCTGTACCAGCCAGACAACCTGGTAGCTTTGATGTTTCTCTGTTTGAAGTGTGCTGGGATTAGACAGTACTGGAAAAGGAACGAGCTTACCTGCATTTGTCAGGTATTTTAATTACCCATCACCCACTAGGAGTGACCTGTATTTGTACGTCTGTCAGGTATTTTAATTACGACTATCACCCATAAGAGCGAGCTGACCTGTATTTGTGCATCTGTCAGGTATTTTAATTACGACCATCACCCAGAAGGGCGAGCTGACCTCGTGGCCGGAGCTGCTGCCGCAGCTGTGCAATCTGCTCGACTCAGAAGACTACAATGTGTGCGAGGTGCGCGGCTGGCCTAATGGGCGGATTGATAAGTTTTTTGAATGTATTGTAGCCTGTTGAAATACAGTGCGATAACAGTTTTTTGTGTTTATAATAATTCATAATTATTCTTTATTGTGGACACGAAATAGTTTTTGTCAACATTTGCATGTCGAGAGAAGCTGCCCATTACATAAAGTAGTTTGCACTCTTTTTTCCTCAGAGTCTCCTTGAACATGTTCGCCGATAACACAGCCTATTCTGTATCTTTTCACAGGGCGCTTTCGGAGCTCTGCAGAAAATCTGCGAGGACTCGACCGAGATGCTGGACAGCGAGGCCCTCCCGGACCGACCGCTCAACATTCTCATTCCGAAGTTCCTGCAGTTTGTGCGCCACACCAGCCCAAAAATCCGGTGGGTGCTGACTGCCGAGTCTCGCTGACTCGGCGCGATTCGGGAACTTCCCTTGCGAGTTCCGGGATGTCTTAGTCAGCAGATTGTCTATCGGTGTTCTTTGTTGTTGCGACTGACTGTTAACTGTTGCGGGGTCGTCGGGACTAGGCCGACCTCCGACCGTCGAGTTTGTACCCATGAAGTGGTGCCGGGGAGTTTCCTGGTGCGGTCGAGTGCATGAAGCGCCCGTGTTTGGCGCCCGCGTGGGGTGCGCAGCGGGCTCTATCTTGCACGTCAATCGGAGTATCCCCCACTCAGCCGGGCCATCAGTGGGTTTCGAGTGGGATGCACGGCCCAGCGCACCCGACCCCCGCCCGGCGCCCCGCGGGCTGATACCGTTCATGGCAGGCTGAAATGACTAATCGCGCTGATCGGGTACACATGCCATCCTCTGCCCCCCCCCCCCTCCCCCCGGAACTCATGGTCCCTCCTCCCATGCCTTTGTCGCACTGGCAAACGGGCTTCGCTCGCGTGTTATGCGGAATTTTTACTAAAACCACCGCAGATATATCCGGACGTGCTGAGTGGCTCGTTTTTCCTAGTTCATCACGTATGCTCATGCATCCGTGCATTGCATGTTCTAGCCAATTTCCTCCCGGAACATTCTTATCAATGACTTCATTCCCATGCAAAATATTTCGATGCAAAACACAAGAAAAGACGGAAAATATATCTCTTCGATGCCAGAGAGCTGGGATAAAATACGACACTTATTTTTTATTTTGTGTGACTTCGATTTTTCGTATGCCACGCCAAAGTCACGCCTCAGCACACAACCGTGTGCGGCTCAAACTTCTCGCAAACAACCACTTAACCGTCCACTCCGTCGTTTCACGTCACTCCACCGCTTTTATTGACCCACCCCGGCGTCTCTCTCAGCTCACACGCGATCGCGTGCGTGAACCCGTTCATCATCAATCGGACGCAGGCGCTGATGGTGAACATTGACACCTTTGTGGAGAACCTGTTCCACCTGGCCACTGATGAGGACGCCGAGGTGCGCAAGAACGTGTGCCGCGCGCTGGTCATGCTGGTCGAGGTGCGCATGGACCGGCTCATCCCGCACATGAACAACATCATCGAGGTGAGACGACGTGGAACTGTGGGGGTGAGGTGGTGTTGACCAGGACGGGTCACGGGCGTGACTTTCCGTTATGAACGGTAAAGGATGGAGTCTGGTTAGAGCTTGGAATGTCAATCAAGTGTGATTGGTTTGTATTTGCAAAACCTAAACTGGTTTTTAAGGTGATTCAGCTCGATATCATTCTCGCAAATAAATACTTTGAACAGAATCTAAAATTATTACATGCGTGATTTTGACACAACCCAGCGACCCCAAAGATTGGATTGTCTCCACTTTATTTCCCTGTTTTCTCCTTATACTCTCCTCCCCCACCCACTGAGTACTGACCCCTCTCCCCTCCCCATTGTGCCTCCAGTACATGCTGCTGCGGACCCAGGATCCGGACGACACCGTGGCCATCGAGGCCTGCGAGTTCTGGCTCTCGCTGGCCGAAGAGCCCGTCTGCAAGGAGGCGCTCTCGCCCCACCTGAACCGGCTCATACCGGTGCTCGTCCGCGGCATGAAGTACTCCGACTTTGACATCATGCTGCTCAAGGTACGGAACACCGAATCGATCGGTGCTCGTGATTCCTGCTAGTGAAATGATGTGTGTTTCATACAGATACGGATCTTGTGTCGTTTTTTATGAAGTTGAGAAGGGTTGCTTTTGTTGAGAAGTCGAAAAATCTTACGACTAATGTCGATCTAGTTGACCAGGGTTGCCGTCGACTTGCATCGATGCATGTTTGGTAGAAATCAATTTCAATCGCGGAAATTTGGTGATTGTTTTTTGCTTACCCTTAGAAGTCGAATCGATCTTAATAAATTTTCAGTTCAGTTTCTGAGAACGATATATTCCGCTTAAGTATCTCGAAGTCTGAATAGCGGCGGTCGTGTTACTGCACATTCATTATTTTGCTAAATACACCGGATGGAATTGAATGTCATAACGATCGTCTCCTGGTTATATCCGTGAAATGTCGTTCAGCCTAGCCAGCGTTATACCCTCCCTACTAGTGGTGTCAATCGGAACTTGAATCTTCAGAATTCCGATTTTGTCCAATGTCCAATTCGGAATTCGGTTGGACAATGGCCGCAGGCTTTGGACAACTTTGGACAATCGCTTGCTACACCTCAACATTTTTAAAAAGTAGTCGTGTTTAACATTGATTGGCTATTAGAAAGCTCAGCTTTCGATATGATTAACACTTTTGAGCTTGTAACGGTACCTACATGAAAAGCAAATTAAATAACAGTGTTGAGTGTAAACTATTGCGTAGCTGTCGGACCTCTTTGGACAAATGGCTGGCTTGGACATTTTTGAACGGACAATCGACGTAAGCATTGGACATTGGACGGACTTTGGACATACGTTTTCTGAAATTGACACCACTACTCCCTACACCCACTAACCCCCCCCCCCCCCCCTTCACAGGGCGACGTGGAGGAGGACTCGATGGTCCCTGACCGGGACGAGGACATCCGGCCGCGCTTCCATCGGTCTCGCACCCACCAGCTGGAGCACGAGAGTAACGGGGGCGCCGGAGGCGAGGGGGCCAGCGGACTGGATGAGGATGAGGACGGTGACGGCTTCGACGAGGAAGGATCCTTGTCTGACTGGAATCTCCGTGAGTTCGACAGGGTTAGGAGGGGTGGAGGGTGAAGGATGAGGTAGGGGATGATAGGCTGAGAGATAGGAGGATGTTAACTTGTCAGCATGAAGTGGGGGTGAAGTGGTTAGGAATAGTGATGTGCTTTGTTGAGGTTATGACCGATTGCGCTTAGTCTCCGACGTTTTTATTTCTTTTCTTTTTTTAACCGAAATATGTTTGCGACTCTATAACCAAATTACATCTCAACTATGTGTGTGCACTATTCACTATTTAGGCCTTTCGTTTGTCTCTATTCCCTGTATTCAAATATTACGCCATTTCTTCGTTGGGCTTCTTGTCTGGATTACGTTAGGGATTCTATTCACCCTCGTCTTCCTCACGTTCTCTCAGGAAAGTGCAGCGCGGCGGCTCTGGACGTGCTAGCGAACGTGTTCCACGGCGAGCTGCTGCCCGTGCTGCTGCCCATCCTGAAGGAGACGCTCTTCCACCAGGAGTGGGTCGTCAAGGAGTCGGGCATCCTGGCACTCGGCGCCATCGCAGAGGGTGAGTTATAGATATAACCGCGTGACGAGCCACTCGGGCTGTGATGCGACGTGCAGAATCGACCTGCTATTACATAACGGGGGTGTGGACAGCTTTATCGTATTGTTTTATCGTAATGCTCGTCGCTCGCCACATGTGTTCCCCGCCCGGGTTGGTTGAACCCGATCCGGTAACCGATTCATTGACGCAATCCGGGCCGGTCCGACACCGGCGGTTGCGAAATCAGCCGTTCCGGTCTTCCGATTTGACATTCCGTAAACAGGGGATGCCGCCCGGACGGGTTTCCGCACGGCGCTGACACCTGGGTGGTCCTGAGCGGACCCGCCCACTTCACCGTGTTGCCAACCGCGCCCCCAAGTCTCCTACGCCTTTGCCCTGCAATCTAAGCCTCGAGCGCCGCCATTCGTGCTGTTACCCCATCGGTGCACAGAGTCATTTTCCCTTCATCCTTCCTACGATGCCACCCGCACTCCGAGCGTCCCTTTCTACATTGCTACCGTTGCACTTATCTCTATCCTCGCTCCCCGGGGCTGTTATTAAGGCCCTGTAGCGTCCCCTCTGCACTGTTCCCTGTGCACTAACGACCGATCTCTTCCCCGCCCTCTCCCTGACAGGCTGCATGGGCGGCATGATCCCCCATCTGCCGGAAATCGTGCCCTACCTGATCAACTCACTGTCGGACAAGAAGGCACTGGTGCGGTCCATCACATGCTGGACGCTGAGTCGGTACTCGCACTGGGTGGTACAGCAGCCGCATGAGCAGTACCTGAAGCCACTCATGGGAGAGGTGAGACTCTGGGCTAACTGTGGGCGGCTGTGGACAGGAAAGGGAATGACAGGACAACCTGGAGGTGTGGCGGTCGCAAGTAGTGCTGTATGACGCTGCGCCATTATCAGGTAATGCTTATCAGAGTCTGACAGAAAAATAGTGTGAACATCGTTAACTGATCCTTCCAAGTTGAATAATGAAAATTGTCTGTTCAAACGACAAACGTTCTATGGTAAACGCTGCTAGGTCTATTCTACGCTACTCTACCACACAGCTGCCTAACTTGCATACATTCCCCGTTTCCTTCCCCAGTTACTGAAGCGCATTCTGGACCCGAACAAGAAGGTGCAGGAGGCGGCGTGCAGTGCGTTCGCAACACTGGAGGAGGAGGCCTGTACCGAGCTGGTGCCCTACCTGGGCTTCATCCTGCAAACCCTGGTGTACGCCTTTAGCAAGTACCAGGCCAAGAACCTGCTGATTCTCTACGACGCCATTGGCACGCTGGCCGACTCTGTGGGCGTCCACCTCAACAAGCAGGAGTACATCGACCTGCTGATGCCGCCGCTGATCGTCAAGTGGAACGTGCTCAAGGACGAGGACAAGGACCTGTTTCCGCTGCTCGAGTGTCTGTCGAGCGTGGCGACGGCTCTGCAGAGCGGCTTCCTGCCGTATGCTGAGCCGGTGTTCCGGCGCTGTGTGTCTCTGGTGGAGCAGACCATCAACCACACCGTGGTGAGTGGATAGGAGAATGGAGGATGAAGGGCTGATGACTGGGAGCTCTCTAGGCATGTCATGTGTCTAATGGTACTGCTCGAGGCATCTTGGTTTATTTATTTCGCACTTCATCCGATTAATCGGTCGTATCTTCGATGATAATGATAAACAGATAGCGATTTATCGTTCCGATACCGCGGCCTTGAGTGATATACCCCCGAGGTGGCTCATGTTTTGATAAGGCATCACTCGGAACGAGAACTGACAGGCTGCATACCCCCCCCCCCCCCGCACTAGAGTCGACAGCTGCGGCATCCCTCCCGCCCCTCTGACACCCCCTCCCCCTCCTCCGTCCCCAGGCGAACCAGCAGAACCCCCAGCAGGTGGACGCTCCCGACAAGGACTTTATGATCGTGGCGCTCGACCTGCTGTCGGGTCTGGCCGAGGGCCTGGGCGCCCACATTGAGCCGCTCATCAAGTCCTCCAACCTGATGCAGCTGCTGTTCCAGTCGATGCAGGACTTCATGCCGGAGGTGCGCCAGAGCAGCTTTGCTCTGCTCGGCGATCTCACCAAGGCCTGCTTCCAGCACGTGGCGCCCAACATCTGTAAGTGAAATGGGCTCTCGGAGAGCGGTGGGAGCCCAGAAGTAATTTCGGTTCTATCTCGGGGATATTTGTACGATAATTCTACTCGACTTCTTACACTAGCATATGAATATCTGGTAACTTGAGTACTGCTGATTTCACAGAAAATTATGTATAGTTCAAAGATTTAGGGCATAAACACACTGTTGCGATGTCACATGTGGCCTATATCGCCAGCCACAAGTGTCAGTGTTATAAACTGCCGCCTTAGCTGACTGGTACTGACACTGTGCTTTGTTCTCTCCTCTTACAGCGGACTTCCTGACGAGCCTGGCGCAGAACCTGAACCCTGAGCTGATCTCCGTGTGCAATAACGCCACCTGGGCCATCGGAGAAATCGCCGTCAAAATGGGTACGCATCGCCACCGCCCGGCCGCATGGGGCTGTGCGGGCCGGAGACCGTCAGGCTGCCCTTGGGGCTCGCATGTGCACAGAGTTCTACTTCGCCTGAACTCAGCATCGATCTAGCTGTTACTTGGCTGCTGGAATTCCGAGGGTCACTTACTTAGTTAGGTCAGTCATTGATTTGACATGAGAGTCCTTGACATCAAACATTTCTTTTGGTGACGATGCATTTAGTGTTTTTGATCAAAGAAGTGAATGCCTCGTGTCTGAATCTGATCGACTTTCTGTATGTGCCACAGGCCAGGAGATGCAGACGTACGTTCCGATGGTGCTGCCTCAGCTGATCCTCATCATCAACCGGCCCAACACGCCCAAAACGCTGCTCGAAAACACCGGTGAGTGAGCACGCTGCCCCAGTTGTCCAATGTTTGCACCAGGCAGGTATTGAATGAAAGAGTGGTCGATAGGGCGTGATGGCATCTAAATGTTTTATTGATTTTTATTGAATTCAGGTGTACCGTAAAGTGGGGCTATTTGAGACAGTGGGGCTATTTGAGACAGTATTTAAAATCGCTATAAAATGAAGAGCGTTTGATTTTTATGAGATCTTTTTGCTCAGGAAGGTGTGGAACCGAGCAGTAAATCGCCTGAGCAAAAATTAAGCATAAATTTCAAACGGTTTTTATTTTATAACAATTTTAAATACTGTCTCAAATAGCCCCACCTTACGGTATTTATGATATAAAATTTATCATAACCACATGTCGAGCAGCTGGTGTTAGCAGTGGCCAGTCTAGGCCGGGTGAAAGTGATCCTTGATCGTTTGCACCAGTGTTATGTCTACTTCGGTGTGTAACCCTAGTAAATGACCTTTTTTGACGTTTGAGGACCCATATTCCTATTGTACAGTTGACTAGGTAATCTTATCATCATCAACAAAATAGCTCTTTGAATGAAGAAGTGACATCCTCCTTGAATGGGATTACTTTTTACTTATCCTGACTTCCAAATGGCTGATGAGTGAAAACACTCTGTGTGCCAGCGCGTTGGTCTGCCGTCATTTTTACTGATTTTGCTTGTAGTGTATTGAATATGGCTTTGTCGACCAGACGCCCTATGTTGCCGCCCTGATTTGTCGTCTCGACCGCGGCTGTTTTGGCACCTGCGCCGCGACAACTGCCGTATGAGCTGTAGTGAATGATTGGTGCGTTTTCTTTCTTTTTCCGGTCGGTCGTAGCGATCACTATCGGTCGGCTGGGGCTTGTCTGTCCGAAGGAGGTGGCGCCCCACTTGCAGCACTTCATTCGTCAGTGGTGCGTGCCAGGGACCGGACGGTCCGCTCGTCTTTGCGCACCTTGCGCGCACGTCTTATCTTCATTTAAAGGATTTGGTAGTGGCTATTGCCTAATGCGGGTCGATCTAAGTTGTTTTCAGTCAGCAGTTTTGCGTTTTTGGTCAGTTATGCTAGTTTAGTGCCTTGTCATATTTTTGCAATGAAGTGCGCCATTTTGCTAATTGTGTTGTCCATTAATTTATTGAACTTGCAGACGTGTTCAGAGTAGTAGCTTTATCTGTAAATACCTTATATGATCATTTACGCAGTCTATAAAAGGAAGCATAAAGCTTGTCAGTAAGATGGATTGGCCATTGGACAATGGACTGAGGCAATGCTCTTCGATATTTTTAATTAATGCCTTATCTACATTTCACTGCTGCGCACTATCTGACGTGCCGTGCTGGCGGCGGCAGGTGCACCTCGCTGCGTAACATCCGCGACAACGAGGAGAAGGACTCGGCGTTCCGCGGCGTGTGCCACATGATCACGCTGAACCCGAGCGGCGTCATCACCGACTTCATCTTCTTCTGCGACGCCGTCGCCAGCTGGGTCAACCCCAAGCCCGACCTCAAGGAGATGTTCCACCGCGTGAGTGTTGACTGCAACTAGTTTGCTAATGCTGAGAGCTAAGTTAGACACTCCTGTTTTTTTATGTGTTTGAGTTTTGCAAATTCTGAGGGACTGCGGTATTATTTACATTTAACGGGAAGTTTTTTTATTGTTCTACTTTGTCACCGACCTGTTTTGACATTGTTTTCTGTAGAGGGAGGTGAGTTCTTCAGATGACCACTGGACGTGTAATGCCGTCTGTCGTTCTAACCTCTACTCTCTCCCATCCAGATCCTGCACGGCTTCAAGGACCAGGTGGGCGAGGAGAACTGGCGACGGTTCAGCGACCAGTTCCCACCCATGCTGAAGGAGCGGCTGGCCGTCAACTACAACGTCTGAGACGTATGCCGTTAGGTGAGAGACTCGGGTCGGGCAGAGCTTTGGCTTAACTTAGGGAGGGTAGTTATATGGTAGTTATATGGTTGTTTGAGGGGGGAATCTCATTCCGTTCGGTTCTGTGGTTATTATGATGCTTGAGACATCTTGTGACAAAATATCGTTTTAAATTGTTTAGCGTACACTTTCTGAAATCGTGATGGGTAGGTAGTCACTCTCTCGTGTAACACGGCCCCCTTTTTCGCCGACAGGAACCCCAAACAATTGGCGGGCCGTCGCGCGGGAGGCGGGAAGCGGGCAGTGGGGGCGACATATCAGCTGACTGCGGGCGGGCGGGCGGGTGGGCGCGCTACGTTAAGACACCCACACACACACCTATCGATAGGCGCCTCGCGTCCTCTCTGTCCTCGCCCGTGTTATCTAGTTAGGACTCTGCTGCGTGTTTTAGCCTGCTCTGACTCTGCGTGTGTGCGATACGTGTAGGCCAACCGTCCTTGCAACTAACTGCGCCGCGCTACTCGCATCGAGAGACGGAGAGAATCGAAGCAGATCGCTCGCGCCGCGACCGACCGGCACCCCGCGCGCGCCGCCGCCACCACCGTAATGCTGAAGTGCCTTGGCTGTGATAGGTATTCAATTCATTGATCGCGGGCCAAATTGTACCATAGTCTGCACCGTTACGTTGTTCATTCTGCCGTGTCCATCGCCCGCGGGTGCGCGCGGCCGTCGGTGCCGTCAGCGCCTTCGTCACCGTCGTCGTCGTCGCCGTCGTCGTTTCGTCGTGACAACTTGTGCCGTATTTTTGCTGTGCGCTGCCTCACGGCGCGCTAGGGTGCGCCGCGCGCGAGGGCGGGCGGGTGGGTCTGTGATAGGTCGTTTAACGAGCGCTCCGTGTTTTAACGTATTTCAGGGAAGCGTCGCTCATATGTATTTATGTTGATTGCGTGCATGAACGTCGTCTTTTTATTTGTCATTTTGTCGAGCTGTTAGGCGCGTTAACCAGTGTTAGGACGGTGCGTGGTTGTCCGTCGTCGTTTCTCAACTCGCGCTGGCCGCGCGCCCGAACCGTGCCGCCTTATGTCCGGCGGCTGGCCGTGGGGACCGCGGGTGGCTGCCGCGGGCACAGGTCCCTCTTCTGGTCTGCAACACTCAGACCCGCTCACACACGGACACGGACAGTTCGTGTCTGTTCTCAAACCGCCCTACTTGATACGTGCCCCGCATTTTGTCGTACAGCTATGATATCAACGATGCACTCAACCGGTCCGAATTACCAGCTGCCTGTGCGCTGTGTACGCCGGCCGTCCCGCGCCGCCGCGCGTCGTCGTGCGTCTCGTTCGTCTCGCGCCGCGTCGCGCCGCTCTCGGCGGCCACACCTGCGGCCTGATTCGCTCCGCGCGTTACCGGACGACGCGCTCGCCTCATCTTACTAGTTCCTGTACAACCGCGTGCGCCTGGGTGCGGGCGCGTCAGTGTGCGTGTGTAGGCCTTGTGGCGACTGAGCCGCCTCTACTCGCCTTTCGTTGGCGTTGCATGCTTTCTCCATGTATCCAGTAATTACGTACACATAGACACTCGCTGTTAACGTATAAACGCAAAAGCGCGTAACGTGTGTACCCAAGTTGCTTGCAGGCTTCTATCGAAATTAATTGAAATCAGCACGGCTATAAGAGCGTGAGCTCGCCATTTGGCCTATAATCTGTTACGCGCTTTTGTGTTTGTACCGCCTACAGACAGACACACACACTCGCAGTGAGACCGCGGGCTCGGCGCGGTCGCAGCCCGCCCGCTGTGGCGGTGTTTGCGGCCGCGTGCCCGGGCCCGCGCCGTCTCCGGCGGTCCCGGGAGGTCTGTGATAGGAGCGGCCGCGCCGCGCCGCGCCTCATGTGATTTTACGCTTAGGAGTGTGTGGACGCGTGACTTACTCTTTCGCCCCGCGCCGGCTGGTGTCCGAATCGCCAGCCGGTCCGGTGGCTGGCCGGGGTATTTTTAGGCAAATTTTGAGGTCAGGTGTCGCCAAGTGGGTCCCCCGGGAGGGAGGGGGTGCGAGGGTCCCCACAGGAACAGCAGCGGGTGGGGGGAGGGGTAGCTGATAAGCATACAATAAGGCTTGACGTTCTCTGTTGTAAGTCTCCTAGGCTTAAAATTCTCCGTTAGCCGGTGTCCAGCTTCGGGATTGTCCAGAACGGTCGGTTATTAACTAGCAAATAAAGGGAGGCGTTTCACCATGTGTCACGGCTTTGATTTGCGCTGTGAAATAATACACCTGGTGGCTGAACCTTGCCGGTGAATCTGAATGTGTCTGTGAAGAGGATCTGGCGTTTCCGGGACTTTGGTGAGAGTAACGCGGCGACTACAGCCTATAACACAAACACGGGTTATAAGTTACACACTTTTCATTTTCGGCCATGATCCTTATGGCCGAAAGTGAAAGGTTTTGGTGGCCAGCGGCAGACGTAACGCCGCAAAGCAGCGCTGGGCGGCGATAGCCAGTCAAGACACCCAAGAACACAAACGCAATCGTAAGGAAACAATCTTGAAAGAGGCCTCTTCGGCGAAGCCCTCGCAAGTCGCAATGACGTCTTGCACGCGGCCACCGCCGTGACCTGTAGAATTCACCAGGTCTAACAACCCTCTCGTCTTCTCGCTGTTTGATCGCTGTAAAACTGTGTAGTGTGTACGTGCATGTCATTCTGGCTTCTCCGTCCAATTCACGTTGTGAAACAAGTTTGCTTTTGTCTAGGAAAAAATTCGTTCCATTGTCAATCAGTGACGTTTACATTGTGAAAGGGGTCCTTCCGCCTTCTACCCATTTTACCACCCCGTTTGGTCCAACTTTGGCTCCAAATCAGGTCCGTTGACATTGAGTTAGTCGTGTTTTCCTACCCTGTTACGCTCATTCGCTAACTAGATTTTGGATCGCACGCCCCGACTAACTGCTCCTGTTACTCTTCACCCCCACCCCGATCGGCGTAGTGCAATATTGGATCGGTGTTTCACTGTTCAACCATTGGCGATTGCCGATTGGCGAATTCAGAATGGGCCCATCAGAGGATGGTCCTTCTGTAGAATTTGTTTTTGACATGCAGTGTCAAAAACGCTTTCGGGACGTCCTTTTGGGCATCTTGCAAAAAGCATTCTGCAAGAATAAGTCGGCTTCACTGTTGAAAGTCTAGCTTATTACTTGTTCAGGTTTAGGTATGCCTACCTACGATGAAGTTTTATTCCTTTGGTAGGTAGGTATTTATTTTCACGAGACTGAGCCATTCGCGGTTCGCCCAAGAGCGTTCTAGGCTCTAGTACCTAAAAGTAGGAACACCAGAAAAGAATTTGCAAACCTTTTTAGGACAAAGGACTTAATTGTTTAATTCGCCAGCAAATAGTTTGATGAAATCATTTTAATAGGGGATTACCTCTCGCCCGGCCGTCCTCCGTCCCGTTTGCCGCTCGGCGGAGGAGATGGTAGACTGTCCCGCAATACACAGCTGCCGCGCGGCACAGTATGACGCTCGATTCACGACAGAATGGGGTCTGGCAGCACGGTGCTTGGGAAAAGGACCGCGCCCTAAACTGAACAAACAGGCTCCAACAGTTGAAAGAGCGCTCTTGTTTGCAAAGCAATTACAAAAGTGAATGAATTCAGCTTCTCGTTTACCTTAAGGTATTGGTAGGCAGCGCGGCGGTAGAAGATCGGCCGAGATAGGTACATCTGGTCAGTGGCTCGGATAAACGGCATGTGGCGTATCTCCTGCCTTCCCGTTTGTTACATCAACGTAGATATTTTCGGAAGGTTGATGGGAGAATATTTATTGGCATTGTGTTCTCCATGGGTGTCGTCAGTAAAAAAGCAACGCTCAACCAGTCCACTCACCATTATCATAAGCGGTCCACGCGCCGCGCTGCCAGACCCCATTCTGTCGTGAATCGAGCGTCATACTGTGCCGCGCGGCAGCTGTGTATTGCGGGACAGTCTACCATCTCCGCCGAGCGGTGAACGGGACGGAGGACGGCCGGGCGAGAGGTAATCCCCTATTAAAATGATTTCATCAAACTATTTGCTGGCGAATTAATTAATGAAGTCCTTTGTCCTAAAAAGGTTTAAAAATTATTTTCTGGTGTTCCTACTTAGAGCCTAGAACGCTCTTGGGCGAACTGCGAAATGGCTCAGTCTCGTGAAAATAAATAGCGTCATAGCGTCTTATCATACGTCTCGAGCCCCGTACATTGCATCTGAATTGACCCTGTTAAAATCAAAGACACATGGTATCAATCATCTTCTATTGCTTGGTAGATCAGTAACCACTAACCCTCTCCCCATTCCCCCACCTCTCCCCATCTCTTTCCGACCCAGCCGATCGGCTCGTAGCATCTGTCGGCAACCGAGCGACAGCGTCATTGAGGTCCCCTCGCCGCCGATTGGATTGCCGGCGAGCACGGCCGATGTGAGTCCGCTGCGATGGCCGAGACGGTCTCTCTTTATGGTCCACGTCGGGCGGTGCTCGTTTCAAGTTGGCCGCCCGAACATCGAGTAAATCGCTGCAGCCATAACTGTCATTAAGTGAACAATGATTATCTCAATTTGCTATCACAGAATTGCTCCGGATATAATGCTTCGCTCGCTCTCAGTCGGCCACTGCCTCTTACTTGATGGACCCGGCCGACATGGAAGGGCTGCCGCGGGACCTACCTTGGTCTCCGATCGCCATAACCGTTGAACTTTATTCGGTGGCTCTAATCACTTACCGAGCGTTTTACGGGAGGCGACACAGTGGCGACGGAGCAGCAAGATGGCGTCAGTCGACCATATCGGAGACCGTCTCAGAAATCGGCCGCGAAACTTCCAAACCACCCCTAAAGCCGCCCTAAGGACGCCAGTAAATAACCACTTTACCACTTCCGAAGTACCCAGCGTGCCACCCGAATCTCGCCCCAAAATACTCGCCAGAAATATGTCTCTTTGGCGGCGGCGGCTGCGGAGAATGGCTGTCGGAGATCGCCCTCGATGCCCGTACCGTCACGCCAACCTGATTACGGCCGCGCTGTCGTAGCGGCCGACATGCTGGGCGCGCCGCGAGCGTCGCTCTCAAGCGCCTCCCATCCATCTTGGGTTAATCGCAATCGTAATCGCCTTACCAAACCACTAAAAGCCTGGCGCGTTATCTATTCTGCGGCGCGCGCCGGCGGGGGTCCGACGGATGACTGATGACGCGTCGCGGCCCGCATGCCGGCTCCGGTCTTGCGCACCTCCCGCTCAGTGGTAACTAGGACAAATGAAGCGCTCGCTGCCGCCGCCGCCGGCCGTCCGCCGGTAGTCTACCGCAGTCGCCGGCGTGCTACACGGTCAGCAGTGATATTACCAGCAGTAGGGCCGCAACAGGGCGGAGAGACGACTGCCATTCATAACCGCAAGTGGTGTGTGCGGAACGATGTGGCCGTGCCAGGGGTGCGCCGGGTCACTGCGGGGTGCCAACGACGGGTGTAATGGGTGCCGGGGTGCGCTGGGTGATTATGGGGTGCAACCAGCCGGCTGCTGCTGGGTGTAATTATTGTAGATTGTAAACGGGCTAGTCATTAGTAGCTCAAATAACATGAACTATTTAGATGTCTCGGATTTCTTCGATGTCACAAAGTGTATGGCTGCAGCGGATTTTGAGGGAAAGAGACTGGATGCGTGAGAGTCCCTGATAGCTCGACGCATCCTTTGTCGGTGACAAGTGACAATTGTCGAGAACCAAGCTGCTCGATTATCGATAACTAACGGGTGTGCACTTAGTTTCTGGAAAAAGTTTGTGCTGCCATAACTTAAGTGTTTGAACTTAGACTAAGATGATATTTGGCACATATATAAATTGCAACAATAGTTAAAAGCTGTCAAAAGAATTAGGCGCTCTCTCCTCCCAGGCGGTCTAGAGCCCACGTGCTATACAGACGCCTCCTGTTGACATTGCGCGGCACCTCCAGGTCCAGGTGTGGCGATGGCTAGCGCGTTATGGACTCCAAATAGACGCTGATATGCACTTAACATCTTCCTTAGTACTATTTTGTCTTCAAAAGTCCACATTCGGTCGCCGTTGAGATATGCCAAGAAGATTCTCTTCGCGACTCACAAACGGTACCTACATGTGCGGCGACCCGTAGATCCAGCGCTCCGCGCGCACAGTGACTGCATTGTGGTGTGATCATGACACCTATACTTTCCTGGGGTAGTGATGTTCCCAATGTGACAAAATTTCTTTATTTAAGCACTGCTGTCAAAAGATATCGATGTCGGCACTGGCTACATAGGGCTAACATAAGATTGGATACCGCACGTGGGGATTTGGCGGTCCACTGACCAGGAGATTGCGTCAAAAGTGGTCAACAGGCTGAGGTTCCACATTTTGTGAGCGCCTGCCTCTCGAAGTGGTGTTTTACCCCATCTTCATTACATAAAATTTCCCTTTTAGGCGATCTAATTCCAGCATCCACAGGTGATTGCTTGATTCGTCTGTGCACTGAGCATTTATCATGATAGCTTACAGATCCATGTCTCATTGCTCCTCTGCTGCTTTTATCGGCTGCCGAATGCTGGATCATGGTATCTCTACCCTTTTTGGTATACAATATCACAATTTGAATTTTTTCTTCGAAAAATGGAAAACGGGAGGACGGGAAACGTATCGGGAACGCTCACAAGATGGTGAATACCTTTTACCAGAACGAGCCTCTTCTGCTGGGGCACTTTCGCCACGAATCAACACACCTGCACACTGTGCATGTGCCACGCACTTCCCCGTGCTTGTGCCGTTCCTCTAATGGCACAAGCTTTCTTTCTAGCAATACCTAGAAAGCGCCAATGGGAAGAGAAGTTGTTTCTCTGGAATTTTTGTTATTTTTGTGAAAATTCCGCCACTCTTTTCCGCGTTCATGACTTAGTTGTAAGCTCCTTTCTGTATGAAAAAATAGTCGGTTTGGTCTGAATTTTGGCATGCTCATAACAAAATGAATGATTATTCACTATACGAAAGTTTGTTTTGATAGCTTTAATAGTTTTAAAGATACGGATGATCAATCTTTTTCCAGAAACTAAGTGCACACCCGTTATTCAACTCAACACTGCGTGTTTTTAAACGCCTTTGATATTGATATAAATCTTATATTTACGTGTATAACTGATCTGATACGATTAATCTGAAACTTGAAAGTTTAGTAGAGATTTCATGTCAGTTTTCAAGTTGCAGGGGTACAAAGTGGTGGTTGAGATTCCCTCGCGGTTGCTAGTTCGTCCCTCATTCAGCTAGAGCGTCGCAGAAAAAAAACGAGCGCGTTGGTCATCAAGAAACGTGGTGAAAAGTGTCAAATTCGAAGATCTCAAGTTAACGGACAACTTTTTGTTGGAGACCTTTGTTGTCTGGGCAACGGTCCACAAGTCTGATTGTATTTTGTTGAACAGCTTTGGCAAAGACAAACCAAGAGCATCTACTTGAACCATGTTGTTTGTCACATCCGACCGCGTCGAAATCCTTGGTTTTTGTATGACGGTTTTCAACGGCTAAGGCGGGCTAAGCCAGAACTTTAGCCTATGATGGTCGTGTTACGTAGAAAGGAAGGCATCGTTTGATTTTGCGGCTTCTTTTGAGCCATGTCGTCCATCGTGACTCGCTCAATTCGATGGAAAAAAATATTGATCACCTCAAATAACCGGTATCACCCAAGGGACAAAATTCAAAGGCTATCCATGGAGACATGAAAGAAGCGAGCTGTGAAACTATGATTTTAACGATGGGGTTGCAAAGTGTGACATTTTTTAACCATTCGCCTCTAAAACGAATAGCCAAGCCTAAAACGAGTTGCCGTTTCCATGAATGTTAACAATTCAGAAATGGTGTGCACAAACATTATTTTTGTCAAAGTTTAATTGAAATCGCGTCTAATGCATATCCAATGGGATTAGGTATTGTCTAAGCTCTTTTTATGGCAGCGAATGATACGAAAAACAATAACCTTTTCAAAATTTGGCACCACACGTTGCTGCATTTCTGTCACAATTTCACATGTGGACTCTACAAGGGACTCGGCTCAACACTGTAGATTTGATAATGCAGTCACTTGGAAATACGTCTCGTTTCTTAACGAGCTTTGCAAACTCCGACCCCGCCTGCATTACGGCGCTAATGCTTACCACTTGTTGTTCATCATCGCTTTCATCTGTCCCATTTGGCCCAAGTATTCAAATAATTACGGAGACAAACGACGGACCCTCGCAATGCAAGCGCGGCGACAAAGATAAACTAGGCGACCGCTTGTCATTACGTGGCTTAATTCGGCCGGCGCTGCCGCTAGGCCCCGCCCCCGGCCGCCGCCCATTGGTCGGCTGTGCCCGGAGCTCGTCAGTATAAAGCCCCGAGGCAGTATGTCGGCCGGTCGCGGCTGGCTGCGTGGCGACAGCTCAACGGAGGACGGAGCGGGGCGGGCGGCGGCACGGCGGGCTCAGACACCGGGCTAACGGAACTCTGCACTGTGAGCCATGGAACAGTTGACTGAGTTCGTGAGTAAATCGTTTGACCGCGCCGCGGCGGAGGAGGCGGCGACGCGAGAGGAGGTGACCCTCCTCCCTCCGCCGCCGGTGAAGGAGGAAAGTGAGGACGATGAGGACTGTGTGGAGGAGGAGGAGGACCAGCAGCAGCCTGTCGACATGAGGACGGCCGTGCTGCCGGACTCGTCCTCACCGACGCTCAAGTCAGATGAGACGGAAGGTACGGCAATGAAAATGAATATGATGACGGTCATTTTGGACACCTTTGATCTGTCTCGATTATTGCAAAGCATGAAAATTAAGTGAATCATTATCTCATTAATATCTTCTAGACAGTAGGTAAGGCTGTGTTATGCCTTCGGCAATGCAAACATCTAGCACGTGTCGTAACTTGTTTTTGCTTTTTGTTGTGAGTTTTCTCACTTAAGTGCGTACTACGCTCTGCAACAAGCCACAAGGTCCTTCAATTCTTCACTTTTACATAGTAATGAAAGCTCTTGATTAAGACAACATCTAAATAAGAAGATTTCCTATGAGCTAAGCCATAGGCGGCGGAACGGGGAGGGCACCGGGGCACCGTGCCCCCTTTGATTTTGGCATTTTAACATTAGCCCTACTGGAGTTGCATGGAAAGAATGGGACCAAAAGTCGGCAGTGCCCCCCCCCCCCCCCTTTAATTGAGGGTGTTCCGCCACTACTGAAGTAACCTTCATAATTATTCAATGTACCCTTTGTTAGAATGCATCAGAGGGTTCATGGTTTTTGCACTTCGATTAGCCGCTCGATCATGGCTTTTCTGTTCAAACTGAATTGTGAAAAATGACTGCAAGGCGCATTTATTTCAATCTGAACGTTTGAAAATGGTGGCAAAATGTAAACTTAAAAAGGTTGCTCGCTAGAAGTCAAGAACTTGAACTTTTAAAATTTAAGTGAGCCCTGTAAATGTTAAGTAATTTGAAGATTTATATTGCTGTTGGAATAATCGTTGTTATGAAAGAAAGCTGCATAACGACTCGGTTCAGTTGACAATGAGCGGATAGTCGTTCATTGTGGACAACATTCACATGAAGTTGGTGGACTGGCTAGTAGTGTTGGTGAGTAGGTCCACCTCAAGCGCCGTAGATTCAGACGACTTTTGATGGAAGATTCCAAAATCTCTCCATTTTATTCAAGCTCAGCAACAATTCCGTTTCGCAGCTCAGTTGGCATAGCGTTGGACTCACGGTATTCGCCCGGGCTCGAGTCTCCGGCGCTCGAGGCTCCTTTTAGGATTGGTTTGTGCCGTGGTTGTCAGAACAGTCACTGTAAGCTGAAATAAGTTCAATAGGACGGACCATGCTCGGCTTTGAAGAGCCCGCTAAACTTTGGCATTCAAATTCTCTCGATTACCCGGCATTGCCTGATCACAGATTCGCAAGATAGCGGTCCCGGCTCGTGCAGCTAGTTCTGATTGGCGTGGGATCTGGGTCTGTCAAACCGATAATTGAAAAATTTGGGCTACATTTTCTTTAATGAGGAGCGAAGATTTGCACTTGCTAGCTGAAAACATCCCGATTCAAAGCGCCGCCGCAGACAGCCTCCGCCTCAGTCCGGACGGCGAGTGGTAGACTAGCCCGCCTAACTCGCGTGTGCAGCGGCACAGTATACCACCGCAGGTATTAGACCGCCGCGCCTGAGCGTCGCTTGCGCTCTGTGCCGGCTGAAGAGCCTATGCGCCAGGCCGAGGTGAGCCTATGCCAAGGTTACCACATTTGGGAAGACACCTTCCAGCTTCGGTTTTAAATTTAGAATGTAGCTAGTAGCTACTACATATGCGAAGCCTGGATGCTGTGTGATATTTTGAAAATATGGATCGCGGCGCGATATCGCTATTCGGTTTAGTTCTTCTACATCCTCTGCAACAGAGATAACTTCCCATAGATAATAACTTGATTAATGTTATCTATATGTGCAATCATTCAGCGTGACTCGTGCTATGGTGGGCTTTGCTTTTGCATTCCCGTTTCTTTTTGTGGGTACGGGAAACACCAAGTGAAAGAAAATACACTCAACACCCAAGAACACTACTTGCACATAGTTACTGCAAAGTCGGTCTATTTTCGGTTCGTGGTTCCTGCAGTGGGAGCCCGTGTGGAATACCTTTTGTAATCTAAGGCACTTACAATGAAGTATCATACAGGAATGATGACAATGGATTTTCTCATGGTCCTCGAAACATTTGAGTTTGTTTTGATACTAATTATTTCTGAAAAAGTGTCCGTGCTGACTGCGCAGGGGATAAATTGCAGGCACCAAAGAATATATTTAGCATTTGTCCATTTCTTTTTAAAAGAGACGATAATTCCGAAAGAGAGCTACACAAGAAGAATAGCAGTAGAAATCGACGCCTCATGCATGTAACCTTGACGAGAAGAAAATAGCACGCAAAATTAAAAGAAAGTCTAAAATCTCCACGACAGAATATGCTTGTGAGGGTAGGAAAATGGCCGATGTCATACACTTTACATCCTCAGAATTCTTGAACTCGTTTATGTTCATCAAACTATGATGATGCCTTAGCGACAAAAACGTACTTCATTCGGTCAACACGCAATATTCCCTATGCTTAGATTTATAACACGCCCTAACTAATTATGCCAACCATGTTCTTAACTCCCTTTCCAGTTTCCGCCTGTTGTTTGACTTTGATTTCACGATAAGAAATATGTACAAATTCAACTTTTTAGGGTTCCGGTCTCCGGGCAATGGAGTTATGATCCTGCGTCATCTACCGCTTCAGAACGATAAGTGAATTTTGGAGGGCCAATGACCATAAAATAAATCTCATCTCCTCATAAAAATGAATCGTCAGCTATGGACATAAGCCGTGTCATTAGCGATAGATCAACTTTCGGGAGCAATATTCGGAGACAGTTGGGGCGTTCCACGACAGATCGACCAAGCCATAACACCCTACCTCTCAGATTTTGATGAAATTGCGTCTATGGGGTTATCCGTACCGTAGATTCATAATCTCCTATTTTTAGCGTTATACTACGAAGGGTTTACGAGTTATAGCCAGAGGCATTTTTCAAAATGCCCAGAGTAACCCTCTTTTAAACTCGTATTATCAAAAAATATAGCCAGTAACCTACATTAATATGTATATCACTGGAATCCTCATTGACTGTAGGAAATTCACTCACCAAAATATTTTGAAAATTTTCAAAATTACAAGATTTTTTGAAATATTTAATTTTTTATTTTCGATTTTCAAAAGGTGGCCATTTAATTTTTGACAAAAATATTATGCCAAAAGATGCCTCTGGATATGGAAATTTAAAGTCCAAAAAATTGGAGACATGTTTTGCCTTTAACTTTTTATATATTTTTTTGTTTACGACAATGTTTGTAGTAAAAGGGAACATTTGATGATGCCTTCCAGGGCCAATCATTCTCTTACCCACATACCCTCGAACTGTTTCATGAAATTTAGATATAAAAGCCTGGCACTCACATTCACAGACCAGGCATGCGATTAATTGAATGTTTTTTTGCTTCACTTTCGCTGTAGTTTCGAACATTGTTCAATGACGGCCAAAAAATTGATTTTGAGCTTAACACTGAAATCGGCTGCCTCGCATGTAATTCTGATATGGTTCTAAGCAGCTTGCACTGATGAAACTTTACACTGGCGGATCCAAGGGGGGCATGCTCCCCCCAAAGCCCGTTTGCCCCCCCCCCCCCCCAAAGACCCGAGTTTTAAAGGGGCTATTTCGGCCATTTGTCCCCCCCCCCCCAAAAAAAAAGTCCGGCTGGATCCGCCAATGAAACATTAGGAATTATCAACATTGTGAATCGAACGTTGTGGCCGGACATACCTACACAACTTCCGTTCATAAGAGCCGAGGCTGTGTTAGAGTCAAATGAGGAGAAGGCTCTAGCTAATAATCGCATGAAGTTCGCTCTGTCCTGGTAATAACGGACTTTCAGTAATTTTGATGTATAAATTTGGCACACAAAAAACAATTACATGAGTACCAAAATGCGGCTTGAAGGTAATTGATTGCAATTGCCAGGGGCGTGACCAGGTCAGAGTGGGTGGGGGTGACAAAATTACAAGTACTTGAAAACTCGCCGATATTGTATTCTGTTTTCTTGGAACTGGAAGCATCCCTAACGTTTTGAAATTAATGCATTTCGAGGTAGTGAGTGGCTTGGGATGCTCCATGTTTCACTAACATTCACTTTATTGGTATTTTTATTCCCACCCGGCCGAAGGGGAGGGTTTGATGTGCAGCCCCAACGATTTTCTCGATATTGTTTGCAACGCTGTAAAGCTTGAGAGCTGAAAGTTTACATACTTCAACATTGATTTAATCCGAATCTGTTTGACGCCAACAGAACAGGCTCAGGTCAGCTTACTGACCTATGACGTCACAAATAAATCTCAGAATGATGCAAAACGTTGCAGCTTTGCACTGTGCTCTCAGTGTAAGGGAACCTTTTGCAGGGGATGAAACAAGTAACGGCAGTAACGGCTCTTGAGATTTCACAACATCGATTCCATCAACTTTCCTAAATTTTCACCCGAGGTCAAGCTGGTCACGTGACTTCACTAATATAAGTCAATGGGAAATATTGACACATTGAAACTGTTATTTGGATGCCGAAAATAATCCAAGCCCATCTCAAACGCCTGTAATCGTGATTTCATACACTTTTGCAATGAGCGATTCTTAGGTTTTACATTGAGGACCTTGCAATGCGTCATATATGCCGTTACTTTGTATGGTCGTGTGAGGTCATCGGTTTTCTTTTTGTCAATGACTGAATGGAATTTATCTAACGAGTCGAGTAAGCCACCAGTGAGCTCAGGGAACCCTGCTGAACCGAATCATATACTTAAAATAGCCGTTTTCACGACGGTTATCTGACACACATTTACTGATATTTGATGGGATTCGGTCAAATTTGGTTCATAGTTGATTCTTAATTGTTTTTAGCCTAGGCTGCGCTAGTTGCTTATTGACCTTATTTATCAAATTATCAGTAGTTACTTTTTACTCAAACATGGGAATAAAATTACGTTATGAAAATAGCTGCAGTAAAAGCTTTGGCTAGATTCGTCTGATATCCGTCGTGAAAACGGCTGAAATGGCCTCATTTGACCAGTTTCTTGACCTCAGCGGTTTTGATGTGGCCTCGACCTGAGGAAAACATCTTAAGCTGACCTCTTCAAAATAAAGTTTTATCATTACGGCCAACCGGTGACCTCTGAGGTCAGGTCAAATGCCTTGAGGCAGGGATCCAATTTTCGGTCAATAAATCCCCTAAATGTTCGCAGCACCGTCATTTCGGTATCTGGCAAAATATTTCAGGTCACGAAACTGGTCGATTGAGATAATACCTACGGCTACCTACAGCAAAAGTATCTGTCGATTCGACAGCTCATTCTCAGTGCATTGATGTCCCTCCCCTCAATGTCGTCATTTTGTTCGGAATCTATTAACGAAAAACTCGACTCAATCAGCGTTAGTGACGTCATAAATGACGTTGCGTCATTATGACGTCACGCAAGGTCCACCAGCAAAACTAAAGCATCCTGCATCGGACCTTGCAAAAAAATGCGTGAAGTACGTTCTCCCCGTAAACTATTGTTTGGCGTTTCGCAATAGTGACATTTTTTAAGCATTAGATAGGTTCACTTACATGACGTCATAGTTCAGTAAAGTGACCTTATATGAAAGTTCATTTGATGTCACAAGATAAATCAACTAGATAAATTGTAATAACTTTCCGGCTTCAGCACTCTATCGCCAATGCGTCCCCAGCAGCGATGAGAAACCCGTCAAAGGTGGACAGCATTCGCTCCCTCGGCCACAGGGGGTTAAACCTCGCTCTCTTGAAAACAATACGCCATTATGACGTTTTTGAATCTTTGGGTCCTAACTTAGCTTTCGTAGGTGTCTTAAGCATCTTTAAAAAAGAATAAACAGCGTTGCAATGATCTCTTGATCGCATTTGACCGTACTCCGTTCAGACCGGTTGACAGTTATTGTTATTTTTTCCACTGTACGACGAAATTCAATGTTGTATAGCGACCTTTAGGGCAAAAACATGTTTTTTATACTTTCATCATTGAAAATAAATGCGTTGAGAAGACTTTTGCTTAAAAAATAAATTGTAAAAAAAGATGGCCACGTTCTCAAAATTTGATTTTTATAAATCAATTTTATGTTAAAAAATAAAAAGATCAAAATTTTCAAAAACAGTTGATATCATCAAAATCTTTGGTTAATTCTAATTGTGATGATATGCAGTTTTATAAGAATCTAATAAGTATTTAGCTAAATATCTGCAGATGAAACTTAGAGTTTTTATGGTATCCATTACGTTGCCTGGGGCAATATCTCCCAAAGTGTTCGACGAATGAGATTGAAAATGTCACAACACGAATCACCAGGATAGATAACCCCGTAGACGAAATTTCATCAAAATATGAGAGGTAGGGTGTTATTTCGCGATATTTTTTGGTCGATCTGTCGTGGAACGCCCCAGTTATCGACTGCCCTATTCCGGGAGGCTCGCCGAAGTTATGGACACTCCGGCCAGTCCACCATCAGAACCAGTAGACAGACAGCACTGTCCGTTTTCCAAGCATCTGTTGTTCGTCATTGATGAACCTCGTCTGAACTGTCTGACATTCCCTACCTTCTGTCTCTTCTGCTCTTCCATGTATTCAACCCAATCCCTGTGTCCCTTCTGATCTCTTTGGCCTGCCTTGAGTGCCAACAGTCCGTCCTGTCTGTTCAGCTGACCTTTGTGATTATTTTGTTCTCCCCTCTGATCCACATTAGCGCGTCTGCTCTCCGATTTGTCCCGTTTTCTGTCCCTCGTGATCTGTGTAACCATTTCATGATCCCGTCTCTCCGTTTTTTTTTTCACCCTGAGTCGTCTGCTCTCCCTTCTATCCCGTCCACTGTCACATTTGTCCAGTCTAATCCACTTTGATCTCCCTGAGTCCTGACCTCCCATTTGTCCCATCTGAGCTCCTGTCTGTCTTGTCTATCCCGTCTGACCTGACCATCCCTGCTGTCCCATCTATTCGGTCTGACCTTCCAGCTGACCTCCTGTTTGTCCCGTCTGACCCCCTGACCATCCCGTCCGCTGTCCCATCTATTCAGTCTGACCTCCCACCTGACCTCCGGTCTGTTCTATCTGTCCCATCTGACCTTCTGACCATCCTGTCCGCCGTCCCATCTCTCCCCTGCCTGCCGTGCTGCACTCGCTCAGTTTCCACTGCTCCCCGTGAACCTTCTCCCGGCGGCACAAAGAGCCCTCCTCCCTCCGAGACGAACCGAGAGGGGCGCCGGGGCAGACCTCGCCTCCAACCTCCGCTCCCCCGGGCGACATTACTACATTACACCGATTGACCCAAACGCTGGATAAAAACGTGTAATCTCCGCTGGCTAGCACCGGTCGGCGCTCAGCGCAGACCCACCTGCCGCCGGCGCCGGCTGGTCTCCCCAGAGCGGCCAGCGCGCCGCTGCGCTGCACTGAGGGCCGGCCTTTGTACGACCATTTAGTTAATGTGATTAAATTAATTTGGGATTCACTCAACGTGTAGTTAATGTGATCAGGGCGATGGCAACAAATGCGTCCCCCGAGGCGTTTCGGACTAGTGGGGCGATTATATCGCTTTAATTGCGTGATCACCCGGGCGCACGACCATCTAACTGAGGCGGCCAGATAAAATCAATTGCCGGGCAGGGCTAATGGAGAGAAGTACGGACCCAAAGGGCGACCCGGGCGCGGCGAGAGCGGCCGGCTGGCCTACCAAGGAGATGGCACTAATGACGCCGGAACACATCGGGGAGGTACTTTGGTCGCGCGGCGCCGCCGAGACCGGCGAATAAACCGAGATACCGGCGCAGATTTGATTTGGGTAATGGTGTTAAGTGGTGATAATTATCCAGACACCGCTACAACTAATGAAAATGGCTTCCTAATTCTCAGCCAAAATACAAAGCACGGTGAAAACAAGACCAATGAGCACCTAGGCTATTTTCTCATAATAATTCATGCTAAGTTCGCTCATATCAGTTTGTTTCATAATTTAGGTACGCCTCGCCCCTCGGCACATTTCAACACGTACGAGTAAAATTTTACTTCATGAGAACTCTTTTGGGCTACCATGACCGAAGCTGAACAGCTCTGGTGGAGCAGTTTGTTTATGTGCCTGTTTCAATCAAATACCTGTCATACAGGAGTTCAACTGTCAACATCGAATATCTTATATTCAAATTATTTAAACCACTTCTCGTTCCAGTCCTCGAGGTGTTCAACAATCGGTTAATTATCTTTGCTCTCAAACATTTTCCCTTCCCTAGTACATTTCTTCCCATTGCCTCTATCTTGTCTCTCAAAAGGCCGTTCCCGTTGTCACACAATTCCCCCACCTAACCCCACCTCCTCCTTCTCAGGAGCTCCCTGCAGTCGTCAGGAGGACAGCGACTCGGCCGCCGCTCCGGCCGACCCCTCCAACTCCAGCTCCAGCTCCTCAAAAGTCAAACAGCGGCGCAGCAGAACCAACTTCACGCTGGAGCAGCTCTCGGAGCTGGAGCGGCTCTTTGACGAGACCCACTATCCGGACGCCTTCATGAGGGAGGAGCTGAGCCAGCGGCTGGGGCTAAGCGAGGCCAGGGTTCAGGTCAGTTGAGAAGGGGTCACTCAGTGAGGTGGGAGTTCAGGGCGGTAAGAATTCAGGTCAGTGAGGGGACGGGGGTCAACAGAACAATATTCCCGATAACATTTCTTTATGTATTTTGTTTTAGAATGAAACTCCGCTAAAATTTGAAAAGATTGGTCGAAATTTTTCGTTGACTTCCAAATGGTAGCACGACTTGTAGAAATAAACCTAAATATAAAAATTGAAACTTTAAGCAACGTTGCGTGACATTAGCTTTAAATGCATAATTAGTAAATTCAGGTGCAAAAATCATTAGCGACTGATCAATATTGACCCCTGGTGATCCCGATACATTGTCAGCTATTATGTATATCTAATATCAGCCGAATGGTATTCAATCAATACTGACGGCCGTAACCTGACAGCCACTCCGTTCCCCGTCCCTTTCCATATTCACTGCTCTGTGCCGAAACATCGACGAGAGAGGAGGGATGAGACAGGGCATGAGAGAGAGAGAGAGAGAGAGAGAGAGAGAGAGAGAGAGAGAGAGAGAGAGAGAGAGAGAGAGAGAGAGAGAGAGAGAGAGAGAGAGAGAGAGAGAGAGAGAGAGAGAGAAAGAGAGAGATAGAGAGAGAGAGAGAGAGAGAGAGAGAGAGAGAGAGGGAGGGAGGATAAGAGGGCCACCGCAGCCTTCCTGTCCTTATGCGGGAGGACGGGGGATCTCCCGAGTGGGCCGGGTCGTTCCGGGTTCCGGCTCTGATTATCATTGGCGTGGGCTGCTCGGATAAATCGGCTAATATGACAGTAACGCCGGTAAGTAAGCAGCCGTCAGGGCCAATTGCCCGGAGGCGTTCCGAGGAATGGCTCCTTGGAGAGACGTCGGCCGGCCGGTGGACCCAAAACATATAGCTCACTCGCCGGGCGCGAACTGAGATCTGCCCTCGCGCAGAGGTGGAGGTGGGCTGGGTGTCATCGGCACGGAGATTGTGCCTGATGGTGGAGATTGTGGCAGGCATATGGAGAGGGGTGGATGTGTGACCTAACCCGGTAAGTGGCTGCATAGGGTATGTAGGCATTCGGAGCATTTGTCTATAACGGTTGTGCACTGAGCTGTGTGCACAATTTACGGACTTACGAATACATTCCAATTTTAAACGGCAAAATCAGTCCTTACTGTTTCGCGCACTACGTGCCAAGGACTAGGGTAATGACCAGATATGAAATAATTAATTACTTTTGTTGAATACATCTCTGACTTGTATCTAATTTCTTTCAGGTCTGGTTTCAAAACCGCAGAGCCAAATGCAGAAAACATGAAAGTCAAATACACAAAGGTAAGTTAAAAGTTTAGCTGCCTAAATCACTGCAAAGAATCATACTGGCAGCACACACACATCCGCTTAGCAAGCAGAACGAAGCCTATTTGCAGTCGTTCTTATAATGACTCAACTTCACGAATGTTTAGCAAGTTGATGTCCATCTCGCTTTACCCACATTGCTGAGTAGTTCGTTACTCCTCTTACCCACATCCAGTCCGTTATAGCCTCGTTGAGCGCTCTGTGACTCCGTCTGCTATCGGCACGGCGGCGCGCCGTTTGACACTCGGCCGTATAGCCTCGTTGAGCGCTCCGTGACTCCGTCTGCTATCGGCACGGCGGCGCGCCGTTTGACACTCGGCCGCCCCGATTCCACATATGACGGTCCGCCTCCTGCGGTGTGTTTACCCCATTTAGATAATCCAATCTGCCCGAATCCCGCAGAGCCGGCGCCGCAGATTTGTGTGTAACCAGCTCAGCCTAACGAGTTTATGCATACCTCCCTTTATTGCCTAGGGATCTTAATCCAATAGAGCGCCGCCGTCCATTCAATAAAAAACGCCCAAATGGATGATCAGTTGATTTGCCCTTTGAAAGCGGCTTGACACGCGCTGCGTTCGAATCGGCCAATTGAATTGGCCGCGCCCGGCAATCGGGAATCGCCGCGGGGCGCGAGAGAAATGATAATGAATCTGCGCCGGCTCGGCCAGGGACGTTTTATGGGATGGTGACACTCAGAGATGGTGCGTCGCCTGGGGACGCTAAACCACTTCGGAGAAACGATTTGGGAGGTGGCTGTGAAACAAGTGTGCTTACAAATCTCGTCATTTAATTTTGTGAGACACTTGGCCGGTAGAAACACACCGTAGATTCGATGCAGGGCTGTGTGTACTGTGTGCCCATTTTAGGCCTATGCATTATGCAATGATGTTGATATTTATTTGCCGGTCCCGTAGCTCAGTTGGTTAGAGCGTTGGACTCCACGTGGTGAGAGCACGCGTTCCCGGTTATGACAGTCCGGGTTCGAAGCGCGACGGGCGCTCGACATTTATGGGCCTCCTGACAGGTATGGTTGCGGTTAGTGGCAGGCCGTAGCCAGGCGAAGTCAGCGAGGGGACCGGCCGTGCGCGGCTTTGTGCGCACGTTAAACTTTGGACTCTAAATTCTGCCATAGAATCGGAATTGCGCGATCGGAGGGTAGAGGGCAGGGTCACCGCAACAAGCTTCGCTTAGCGGTGGCTCTGTCCTTGTGAATCCTTCCCATCAAAAGGTTCGGACTAAATTTATAAAAAAAAAAATAGTAGTTATCAGTTAATTCAGGTAGTTTTATGTGTTTTAAGCAATGAACATCGCACCACTTGACATTTTGACCCATATGGGTCTAGGAACCGGTCTGGGCCCATATGGGTCCAGACCGGTTCCTGGAAATTTTCTGACGGGTCCAACCGGGTCCTACAGGGTGTTTCACAATAAACGTTACTTTTGATAAGCTTTTAAAATGACCTCAGCTATTCGTATGCCCATAAATTCCATATCCATTTTGTTGCAAATTCTTTCGGGTTTTTTATCCTTACAAAAACTATGACGAATCACCAACTGCATTCTTTATGTACGTGCAATGTCCACACCATCAAAACAGGTCAATTCGCTGTTAAGCTTCAGGGTCCTTCACAATGAATGTTGCTTTTCAAACGACGATGTTTCAGTGACATGTATTACAATATGGCTCATAAGTATTACCACATGAGACAGCAGAACAGTAAGACTGATGAACATATAACTTTCAGTTCAGCACCCTTCACGGGTTCTCCACTATGCCACCCTTCCGTCTGACTTTTTCAACCAGATTCTCTGGGATCGCCGTCCGGCCAGGAGTCGGGGCTGGTCTCGTGTTTCCAGTCTTGTGGAACCTTTCTACGACCCGTTTGAAAGACATTTTTGACGGAATATCCTTCCTCCTTTTAAATGGCTACCGAAACTCCGTCGCACTGCGGTCAGACTCCGCAAAGCGCCGTAATGCATAACCACCCATAACGCCTCATCATCTGTACACGGCGAATTGACCCGTTTTGACGGTGTTGGCATTGCACGTCCATACTGATGGAACCGTTGACGGTTTGTAAAAAAAAATGTAAGGACTAAAAACCGCTACAAATTTGCAGCAAAATGCATATAAAATTTACGCGCTTACGAACAAGTAAGATCTTCATTTAACCCTCGCCCATGTAGGGGGGGTTGGTGCAACCCCCCCCCCCCTGAAGCTTTTCGGAAATAGTGCAAAAACGGCGGCGCGCAGCGCCGCCAAATTTTGGGTACCTTATGGGGCAAACCTTGCGCATCTTTTGATAAAAAAAAATTGACCGGGTCATGTCAGGTCACGGAGTTATGACGTCACAAAGGGAACAGCCTCCGGCCGGATTTTCACAAACTGAGTGCCAACGCCCGAGGTTTCCTGCCGGTGGTACGGACATCGGTTGATGGATCGTGATGAAACTTCCCATGCATGTTGGGGCAAGTATTGGCTATCATATGGTATAAGAAACTTGACCGGGTCAGGTCAGGTCACGGAGCTATGACGTCACAAGAGGAACAGCGTCCAGTACTATTTTTGAAAAGCGCCCGAACCACTATTTTGCTAATTCTTGTCACCTCAATGGGAATATGCAGCAATATTAGCTTCTATAGGGAGCAAATGGACCTCCCAAATCCAAAAATACAATCAGATTTCAAAAATTTAAATTTTGATTTTTCGAATTTCTGCCGCCGACTGTGACCTTGCCGACTTCCGGCGCTCCCAACGCGCCATTTTTAGAGCTAGGGAAACGAAATACATACCAAACGATAGAGAATTGATCAATGAACACGATAGTGAAGGTTTCAAGTCGATATCTCCCACCGTTTTGCCGCAATCGCCGCGGGAAGTTGAAAAAAAGTCTATTTTTCCGAAAATTTGACCTTTGACCGGTCAAAAGTAGGTCAAATATTGACCTAGGACCAAAAAAATATACCACCAATCGCGAGATCTCGGCGAGAGCAATCCGTTGGTCTTTTCCGCTAAGCTCTACAACGCTCCGTTTTCAAACGCCAAGGGGGGGGTAGCACCAACCCCCCCCCCCCCTGCATGGGCGAAGGTGGCAGATCGCCGTTTACGGGCGAGGGTTAAGCTATTCAAAAGTAACATTTATTGTGAAACACCCTGTACCATACATCATGCACAATACAAATAATTGCAAAATATGAAGTAAATGGAAAGAAAACATTTGCTCATGTATGTTTCTTTGCACACTGTACCTCATGAGTATTTCCAGTGGGTAAAAGGCTATTTTACATGATGCAATTAATGCTACCTACGAATAGTTTGTATTAATTGACTTTTGGGGAACGGGTCCAACTGGTTCCCATTCCAACTTGGACCGGGTCCGACTGGTTCCAGAAATACCGAGTCGGGTCTGGTTCGAGTCTGGTTCCCAAAATTTTCACCTTTTGCCACCTCTACTACCGACAGACCCTTTGACACCCCTCTGCCCGCATGCCGGACTCTAACTGCTAACACCTCTCTATGCCCGTCCTCCCCAGCCGGTATGCTGCTCGGTCCGACGGTCTCTGCCGCCGGCGTGTCGGGCCCGTCGGGGGCGGCGGCGCGGCCGGCCGGCGTGCCGCTCGAGCCGTGCCCGATGACGCCCCTGAGCCCGTACCCGGGCCGACTGGCGGCTCACAGCAGTCACCTGGTGCCGCCACCGGATCAGATTACCGCCGCCGTCAGCCGGCTGTCAGCACTCGACCCGGCCCTGCTCCAGGTATGACGCGTATACGTCATTAGATCGACGAAGAACTGTAGCACAAATGTACATTGTACATACACGTTAAATAACGTGCAGTGTCTTTTTATGTTGTTTTGTGGTATACCTACTTACCTATATGACGTAGATCCGCATTTTACAAAAGCAAAGCCACAACCCGACAGTTGGCACATAACAATTGTATGTCCTCTTTTGGCTCTCTTCCTGTCATCTCTGCCTAGCTACATACCATCGGGTCCTCTCTCAGACTGCCAGCTACGGCACCCTCCCAGTGCCCTCCGACCCTCTCCCAGTTCCGGGGCCCGGCAAAGTGGCGTCCGCGACGCGACATTTCATTCTCTCCCTGTGGAAACATTTAATCGAATTACGTCCAATGAGAATCGTCCGTCATCAGGCGTTTTATTCATTCGACCAATGGTAATGAGATTTGTATTAGCTCCGCCCCCTGCATCGATCGAGCGACATCTGACGGCTGGCGCCGGCGGCGGCCGGCCGGACGGCAGACTCAAAGCAGACTCAGAGTTGCTGGGACTTCAGTACCTACCGGCCACCGGGCCTTTATTATACACCTGCTTTCATTTTAGGAGTCGGTAGTCAGTCCATTTGTAGGCACACTCGATTCGTGCTGCTAGCCTAAATATACTTTTTTTTTTCATTGAAGGAATGAAAAACGCGCTTTGATGTGGCCTTACCTGTAGTTAACATGCGGAGCGATACACTTTCTAGAATCTAGATTTCATGTTTTCGAAGCGAAAACGGCAGTTAAGTTTTTGAAATAAATTCCCAATCGCATTTATTGCAGTTTTCTTTGGATGTGTATTGCGTAGCTATAAACCTTCTGAATAATTAATGTTTAAATGTTCTTTACCACATTAACCCGTGTTTACTGTAAATCTCTTTACAATCCACATAAGACGGTCCCATCACATTTAATTGCGCCGCGGCCGGCGCCGATCTGCATATACACCCTCGTGGCTGTCGAAGCGCTCAAATTTGCATGTCTGAGATCACGCCTGTCGGGCCGCATCACGGCAACGCGTCTCCAGTGCGGCGTATGTCGGTTGCGATCGTGTCGACAGCCGCCGTCGGCCCCGTGGCTCGGCTGCCCCCTCGGATACGTCACACCAAATCTAATACCCAGATTGGAGTCGCGGGCAAATACGCGCCAATGATTCCATTTGTATAGCTAAATGATTAGCCAGCTGAAGGCAGCCCATTTGAATAGTGGTGGGGACAATTTATATTCGGTGACGGCGCATAAAATTTGCGTTCATTACGGTGGTCGAATGTCTTTGCATCGTATTAGCAAAGGGTCGGTCGACCTTTTAAAATGCGATTAACGGCAATACGAGCAGTTGCATTTACCGCAATGGCTAGTGCTTCACTTCAAAACCAAATATGAAACCTCAAGGAATTTAATAACACCAAAGTGGGCATAAGTGCGGTTGGTTACAAGTGAACACTCTCTATCTTACGCCATCGCATGATCAATTGGATGCTGCAATGACAGGTCACTGGCCAGCATGACAAAAATATATGCGTTTTGCACTTGTGTTAAATTGTTAGGTGCCTACTGCCTATTATTCAGACTCACCAAACATGTTTCTGCTGTCTCTGCGGACCCCTTCTGACGTGCCCTTCCGCTGTCGTTTCAGTACGTGGCCGCGGCGGCCTCTCTGTCAGCTGTGACCTCTCTGGCGAGCTCTCACCACGCGCCACCACCACCCCCGCCACCGCTGCTGTTTTACCCGAGCGCCGGCTACCCGCTGGGACTGGGCTCTGCCGTATGGAGTTCGGCCGGCCGGCTCGCCTCCAAGACGAGCAGCATCGCCGACCTGCGCATGAAGGCCCGCAAACACGCCGAGAGTCTGGGAGCGGCGCTTGGCTCCCGACTTTCACCGGTCTGAGTCTGGTGTTTGAGTCTCACCAGTCTGAGTCATGGTTGAGTCTCACCAGACTTGGCCTCGGACTCTCCTCAGTCAGTCCTGGTGTGAGAGTCTCACCAGTATGAGTCACGGACTCCGGAGTCTCTTCAGTCTGAGTCCCAGAGTCAGACTCAAAGGCGCTTTTAATAGTATGAGTCCTGAATTCAGAGTCGAGTCGATCTGAACAACGGAGTCGGAGTCTCCTGTTTGAGTAACAGTGTCAGATTCGCTGGTATGAGTCACGGTAGAGCCAGATTCTCACCGATTGGAGTCTTAGGGGTCTCAGTACGGTCTGAGCCACACTAGGAGAGAGTCATTAGACACCTGAACTTGTGAGTCGGTGAGCCAGGAGGCTTCTTCAGATGAGCCAAATTGCCAGAAAAGCAGTTTTGAATGAGGGAGTGCAGTCAGAATAGGGAAACGTTCATTAAATGGAGTCATTGCAATGTCAGTGCTGCACTAGCGTGCCCTTGCTGCATAAACTGGTATAGTGATATGTGCTTAGTGCAAGTAACTACAACTTTTATTTGCTCTCAGTGCAGCTTGAATAAATAACAAAATTTTCGTTAAACATTGCTGGTATTGCTATTAACTTCACGGAACGCTAGTTGATAAACTGATTATTTTCGCACCACAAATACCTACTCGAGCTCATTACGACGGTCTCATAGTGATCTCTGAAAAGTAACAGATCTCAAGCGCCTAAATGTGAGTGGTGGTTTAACCCGCGCCCCAGTGGCGGTCTCAGCCAACTTCGCCCTAGTGAGGGGGGGCATATGTTACCACCCACCTCTAACTCAAAAACTAAGAGGGCTAGAAAGACGCGGTAAAAAGCAGTCGATAGCTATCAATGCGTACGTTTGAAAGTATTTCAGTCATTTTTCACCTTAGAGCAATATTGGGGTCACCAGAGGTCATCAAAGGTCAAAATTTGCCAATTGTCATTATATTTTTCAGAAAACATGCCGTTATCTCAGGAACTATGGTAGCTAGAAAAAACGCATGGAAGAGCAAACGATAGCTTTTGAACTCTTCTTTTGAAAAGGTCATTATCAATATTGACCTCAGGTCAACGGTTTAGCCTCCAGAGGGCAAAAACTCCAAAAATAGCTGTTTTTACGAAAAGTGTTTTTCGACAATAACTTTCGACTACAAAAAGCCACGACATTTCTATTGCCAGAATCGTGTTCCCCTCGCCGTGACGCGTCGAATGAACTATAATTTGACCTTAAAAGGTCAACTTGAAAATTTGACCTCAGGTCAAGGTCATGACCTTACCGGAAAAGGTCATGTTGCATATCAGTCGATGCGTCTCAACAAGACAAACACAATGAGACCATCCCCAGCGTTCTATCTCTTTCCAATCGCGAGTTATTGGCAAAAAACTGTTTGTAGCCTCAAGTGACCTCGGATGACCTGTCTAGAGGCTATCAGCAAAAATGACACCTTGGTCATCACGAGTGGACTAAATCATTGTGATTCTGAAATATTTGGACTGTTCCGATGCGTACACACGGATCTAGAGGCATTTTCATTTTTCTCCATTGACTTGTAATGGAAAGGTCACGCCACTGACCTGACCTTAGGTCACGGATATAAAAAAATCCGAGATATACAAATTGTAGGCGCCCATAACAGCATGCAATCCACCAAGTTTCAAACCTTTCTGACAAACACTGCAGGCTGGACATGATTGCAAACTTTTTTTTAGGCTTGGTCAGTTAACTTGACCTCGTGACCTGACCTGACATGACCTTGGGTCAAAAATTTCACACATTGTCCAAAATTAATGTACCAAAAGCTACCCCAAGCGGCGCGGCGCTACGCGCCGCGGTTTTTTATTCACACGCAAAAAACGCGACAGGGTGGTAACATATGCCCCCCCCCCCCCACTGGGGCGAAGGTTAAAGAGGTCCATCTAGTTGTGTGAAAAGGTAAAGCTCGTCGCGTTTTTTTTTAATAATATTTGTGCGCGATGTTGGGGCACAAGCTCCGTTAGGGCTGAGTTTATTCGGCACGGATGTACCGGGAGCATACAGAAAGTGTTTCGGACATATTATTGCCTGTAGCGTGCTTTATTGGACGAAATGCAGCTGAAGCATCCTCTTAAAGTTGGACGCTGGCAGGGCATGCTGTAACCCGCGATGTGCCATCAAGGGGTAAATAGATACACGTGCAATGTGGGTGGGCTGTTGTCATTCTTGTGGAGAGCGTTCCCCGGCACAATTGTTATGTGCCGATTGTTATTTTGGTATGTGTGTCAGTCTGGGTATGCCTAATGTGCTAGTGCGCTCAGCGACACATATTTCTGTGTAGATGTAGACTTATGTTCCCCTGTATTAAAGGTATTGTAAAAGTTATTATGTGGCAAAAAGTATATGTGTCAATCATCTCTTCTATGAATAATCGGGGATAAAATTAGTCAGTTATGTATGTAATAACAAAAGCAAGGGATAAGCGTCAAAAGTATTCTAGGCACTTATCAGATATATCCGATAAATTCCTTTGAGATCCGCTATACTCGTAGCATATGCTTTATTCATAACCATTTTCAGGAGCGAAATGTTTGATAAATATAGCTCGAATATATTTGTCTCAGCTCGAATATGTTTGTCTTTATTTTGAATTCATTGGCGATTTCGTCATGTATGCTATTGCAAAAGTGTGGCGAATTCGGAAAAGTTTGCGATGTGCTATGCTTTTGCCGAAACATGTGAATTTCTTTAGTTTACCGGGTAATATAGTACATCGGAAGCTACCCATTAATATGCTACCAACATCGCAATATTAACATGTAAATGCTGTTCCCACGCCAGCTTGCACAAGCTTTACTTGCCCACCTTTGTGCATGTGTAGGTATAAGGAACCCTAAATAAATTGTTCGGCGATGTACTCGTGGTAATAGTTAATGTGAGAGCGCAGGAGTCATCTCGTCAATTTGTACTGGCACCGACTGAGCACAAGTCGACCGTTGGTGGCCTCTGACAGGGCCGAGTATTCCAGCAGCTCATGATCACATAATAAATCGCAGACCAGCGCAATGCGCTCATCCACAATGCACATTTCTTAAAAAAATAAAGACCTTAGCCTTGCTTATCGACTGTTTTTTCAAGATGCAAGAAAAGCGATCGCTTCACTTCTTTATATTGTTATCTCGAAAAGCGCAATGCTATTTCCGATCGCACTCAAAACGAATCGACGACATTGAATTACATTTAACGCCAACAAAGCTGAGACCATCTGCAAACTGCCACATCGGAAACGAACGCCGGCGACATTTGTTCTCGTTAGTTTTCCATTTGCTGCGCGACCCTGCTAAGTCCGATCGACGCGGCTGGGCCGGCGACCACCGATCACCCCCACCCTTCTCCGTCGTCCGGCGGCGCTCCGTTTTTACCATTCAGTCGTCCATCCGTCTTGTATGTATCGGCCTGCTCTCAGCGCCCGCGGCCCAAACGACAATTGCCCGGGACGGCAGCATTAGAGAGCCGCTACAAGTCGTTACTGGGACCAGAAGCTCGCGGCGCCGCCGGTCGCCGGCCGCCTCCGAGCATGTTTATTTTATTACCAGCTATTCCAGCCCCGGTCCACTCGCATCACGGGCCATTGGCAAACATCAGATTTTATCCGGCGCTAATCCATCTGGGCCGATTATTGGATTACGATGATATGTGTGTGGTGGCCGGCGGCCGGTTTCCGCTCGACCGCACGACGCGCCGCTGGACTTTGGGGTGGAGCAGCAGAGGCGGCGGAGGCGCGCGCGCGCGCACACACAAACAAGTCCCAACGCTCGACCGCACGGCCGAGGGGTGGTTTTTAGGGGAAGCGGAGAAGATATTGGCAAACGCACACAACGCATACCCACGGACATCAGCATCTTCTCAATTAATTGCTCATGATGGTATGGATAAGTTATTTGATTGTTAGTGCTAACGGAAATATTTCAAACACATTTAACTTCTACATACAATCAGCTCGTGGGACATTTGTCAAAAAGGCTTTGATATGTGTACTATTATTTTAGACAAAACAATTGATAAATCTTTGATACTATCGGTACCAGATAGCAGAAGCAGTACCCATGATTCTGGCACTTACCTGTTTTGCATAACAAGTTTGTGCTCATGTAGGTATATTAGACAAAACCACTGACGATGAGCTAATTGAACATGAAGCTCACTTACTTCGGCATGATCAATGATCACCAGAACCACCAGTATACACAATAGACCACAAATAATCTTAGTCAAAGCGATAATGTAAAATGCATAGATCGAAGCATTAGCAAAAGGCATCATCGTTCGTAAATAGATTTTAGATGAAAGCATAAGTGAAAGTAAGCCCTAATTAAGGGTGTACGTTTCTTACGTCCGCCTACTAGCTGAGCCTGTATAGCTTCGGTGATCTTGAAAAGCACTGAACGGCAAAAACTAAGCAAAACAGCACACGACGAACCTGAAACTGTGATAAGTGGCATTCCTATTGGTTGTCATCTCCTATGCCTAAATTTCAGGTAAACTTAATCAGAGTAAGACGACTATCGCAATGAAGTGCGTTTTCTAGATTCAAAAAAAAAATCACGCCATAATTTCACTTTCACGGCATGGTGTTTAAAACCTTCTGTTTACCGGGCACACTTAGGGCAACTAAAAAAAAAGATCCTTCATAACTCATCGACTTCCGATATTCCCCGACTTAGACGATGGGTTTGGGTTTGGACGTCCCGTGAGCGCTGTTGTGGCGCTGGTGTTTCTTCTTCTTGTCCTGTGCGGACGCCTGTGCCGACTCGGCCTGCACTGCCATCTTCTCCTTGATCTGATCCTCGGTTAGCGGTACGGCGTCACTCTCGGCCTCACTCTCGTCACTGCAAGGCGTCACAGGGACGTGAGATATCAGTGTGACGCAGAAACTAAACGGTTTCAAATCATGGAAACAAGTAAAATCGAGAAACATATAAGTGCATGTATGGCCTAAACTTTCGAATTCATTTTAAAAGAGATAAAACGCAAAAATTACCCCAAAAACGCAAAGAGAGATAAAACGCAAAACTTTATCTCTTTTAAAATGAATTCAAAAGTTTAGGCCATACATGCACTTATATGTCACATCTGTCATTTGATAATCCTCAAAATCGAGAAAATCGTGATAAAATCGGGATTGCCAGTAAAATGCACCCGAAATTAATCACGAATTACAAACCCCATCGATCCCATGCCTCCCTGTCAAACCTCTTAGAATACCCATCCTCGCCATTATCACCCACCTACTCTCCCGTGTCTCCCCATTATCCGACACTTACCCTGGTTCAGCCATCTCTCCTCATTCCTTAGCACTTACCCCGGTGACGGCGCGGCCACCTTGATGTCCACTGCGGCCAACTGCTGCGGCAGCAACATACGGCTGCTCTGCTGGCGAACCGAGGCGATCGAGCCCGACGGAGAGTTCTCAGAGTCCTCCAGGCCCTCGGCCGAGTCACGCCGGAAGTCGATGAACTTGCGCACCCGCAGCAGGTCGTTGACGCGCTGCTCCACCATGGTCAGGTACGTCATGATGTTGTTCTCAGTCACCTGCTGGTTGTCGCCTGCCGAGGAAAAAGGAATGATGTCGATCATGCTGCATTCATTGTTCGGGAATGGTTAAATACGATTTGATTACATTCCTGCTAACAGTGGCCTGATTGTTTGAAATAAGAATGGTTATCCAGATGTGCAGATGTTTAGCGGTGCTCAATAACTTACTAAAAGGTGGTTGAACATTTATGCATTAATAACGTACTTCATTTAGAGCAGCATTTTAACATGTAACACATATTACCGTATGGCATGTAAAATATTTGTAAATCGCAACATAGTTATGCGAAATATTACGGAGTACTGCACCATTTTCCCATCATAAGACATGTGAACCGCAAATCATAGCTTTCAAAACCGTTTTAAACGTTCTGACATTCCGGCGTAAGACTGTGAAGCAGATTTCGTACCCGACCGGAAACGTTCCATCTCAAGGGATCGTCTTTCAAAGGTCAGATGCCATGGGCGTTTCTACAGAACTCAGTGGACAAGACATTTAAGCTGGACCACTGTCTACCAGTCATTCGACCACTGCTGTGTTATGGGGCAACGAGTCGTGAAATTGACATTGAGTTTTGTTGCAAGAAATAAGAATACGATCGACATGACGAGATATGACAAGTTCACGACAAGATCGTGATTTTGAAACCATACCATGAATGCCCCTAAGCAAAGTATTCCGTGTTCCGGATGCGGCACAGTATTACATATTCCGTGTAGCAAATAATATGCCGTGCCCAATTGATTTCAAATATGGTAGGTAACACAATCCGTCAATTGTTATCCATGCAAAGCTGTCCGGGAAGTTAGGTTTGTTTTTCAATAGAAAACTCGATTCTATAACGAATATTGTTTTTCCTAATTGAACACAAGCCTTCGGTTACTACCCCGATTCCTTCCCAGCACCAGTGATAGCATGCAACAGGCATCTCAATACGGTTACTCACCGAGCAGCTCGAGAATGGGCGACCGGTCGCACTTGGTCTCCGTGACGAGCTGATCCACGCCCTGGCAGAGCTGGCGCAGCAGCGCCTGGTACCGCTCCAGCGACTGTTCGGCCTGGTCCGCCAGCTCGGCACTCTCCTGGGCCTCGCGCTGCGGAACACAGAGACGTTATAGGATCAACACATGACACAGGATTGGTCAGCTGAGGCGAAAAGCCGGAATAGCCTATCAGGGAGGAGAGATGTTCTGCCAAAATGAGGGACGTAAATATACTTTTCATTTCCTAGTTCTATGCAAAACATGTCCGTCATATCTACCGCTTATTCTGCCTCAAGCATTCGGCATTACGCACTGAAAAGGTTAAACGTTAATGCAAAAGCTCGCAATTCGAGGAAACATGATTTTCAAATGTATTATGTTGTACGGGAATGTTACGGCGCACCTGAAACTAAGCACGATCACCTCACCTCCAATTTCTGAATCTGCTCTTTCTTATTTTCCGTTTCTTCTACGTCTTTCTGTTTCGTTTTCTCAATCTCGGCCTCGGTCATGGCGATCTGTTCCTGCAGCGTTTCTACCTCTGTGTTGAGCTCGTTAACGTAGTTAAAGAGTGCAAAGTTCTTATCCTCCATCTTGACGTACTGCGCTATCAGGTTATTGACGTCCGTTTCTCCCGCGATGTCTCGGATTTTACGGAATGCCTCGCGGTATGCCTGAACGGTTTCCTCGGCCGTCTTCTCTGCTGATTTTTCATGATCTGACGGTGAATAAAAATGTTTGTTAACAAGCGTACAAGCTACCGTGGGCTATGGCGATAGACAGAACTCTAAGAACGTGCTAAGAAGACGATGCATCGCTTAGGCGCAAACAATAAGCATAATGCACAGCGCAACCTCACCTTTTTTCTTCAGTTTCTCCTCGTCTTCCTCGATCTGCCTCTCATGCGCCTTTGTGGACATGAACTCCTTCAGTTTGTGGTCGTGATCCAGCGTGCGCAGCAGGTCCTTCAGCTCCGTCATGTGCGCCACCGACTCCTTCGTGTTCCGATCCCGTAACGCCGCTGCCTTCGAATTTGCTTCATCGCTGATGAAGGAAGCGTAGCGGTTTTTATATTATTTTTGTTAATTATAATAAGCCTAATGTTATCTGTAAAAGCAAATGCGTCTAGAAATATCAACACCACAAGCCTGAGTTCATGAAATTAACATCACAAGCCTTCCACATACGGCGTGGCGATTACGGTTTTTATTATTTTTTCATATTAAATTATGTGAGCTCACAGAACCGAATAACACTACTCCAAACGCAGAAACAAAACTTATCAAACCAGAACACATATGTAAATGCAATATTACAAGTTAGAGACGGTGAGATACGAACCGCTGGTCATAGGCCTGGGTGGCCTGGTCGATGATTTCCGACGTTTTCTGCTTGGTGGCGGCCAGCCGATCGATCAGCTTGTGGTACTGTTTGTTGAACGTGGCTCTTTCGATCAGCAAATGATCAATCTCAGAACGCAGGTTGTTGTTCTCAACCAGCATCGAGTTAAATTTCACATTTGTCTGCGAAGGAAAGGAAATATATAGAAACAACACTACAAATATTATACAATACAAATCAAGTCATGTTTTTTTAAGCCGAAACTTTAGCTGTTATATGGAGCTACACGTTTCCGTTTGCTTTCCATAATATGCCTTTCCAAGACTTATCAGTCTATTTCGACAGCACACCTACCTCAATGACTTGAATAGATGCTAAGATGGATATTATGTTGTTCTAGATAAAAAAAATGTGCTGCACATACCGTGTAGAGCCTGTTATCGAGCCGCCGTGCCTTCTTCTGCAGCTGAAACTGTTTATTTCGAACCACGTCGTTGGCACCCCCTCGTTTGGCCTGCTTCGGTATCTCTCTTTCCACTCTCCGAATGCGACTCTCTATATCGGCCAACTGAAACAAAAACACTTAAAATGTTGAAAGCTGTCCACATTAACTTAAAAAGGCTGAGTACGAGGTCTGTTCTAGGTATTTTACTTAATTCGACTTTCGAGAAACAGTAAATAATAATTCAATTATTACTTGAGAACGGTTAAGCATAAAACGTTGGTCGAAGCTGCGAAATACAAACATTAAAACACAATGATTGTTGAGATCTTAGAAGCATCGTTTATCGCATCTGTGTGAATCCTATCATGCATCTTTCATTTGGAACAAGTGCTGCGTGCGCTATTAACCAGCTGTCTAAAGGAAACAACTTGCCAAGTATTAGCCCTCACCTGCTGCCTTTCGGTCTCTATTTCATCCAGCAATTGCTTTTGCTTCCCAACATAGGAGCTGAGCTTGTTTGAAGCTGCCTTATTCTTTCGTGTGTTGTAATTTGAATTAATGAGATTCATGTCGGTATCAATTTCCGCCTTCTCAGCCATCAAATTATCGATAATTCGCCTGAAATATGAGATTAAGTGTAAGAACTATGATAATTTTCAAGGCAATAACGCTACTCAAGCAAACAGCATTCAATAAACGTCTTAAACGAATCCCAGAAAAAGGGCGCTTGACCGGATTTTTAAACGGATGTGCGTCGTAGATGGCATTCGGCAAGATTGCTACGCTATAGTTGTGACTTAAGGCGTTCGGTATTGATCAATTAAGTCAATCGGTATATCTGCAGAAGGAATCGTATATAAGTAAAAATTTGACTGCTACTTGAAGATTTATTATGAGACCTAGTACTCTTAATTCTTACGAATGAAGTCTTCAATTAAGTCATGGGATTTTAAATCTAAAATGCCAGCGACTTCTGACTGAAAAAGCCGTCTATCTCAGCCATGACCGGCCGTCCGAAACCCCGCCGTCTTTTGCTCTAACCTCTGTTTGCGGAGAACCGTCTGCGTCTCCTTGTAGTAGGCCTTCCTGTCGTTGTCCATGATACGGTACTGGCGCTGCAGCCGCGCCAGTTCTGTCTCAGTGATCCCCTCCAGCTCATTCTCCTCCAGCTCCGAGCGTTTCTTACGATCCATAATTGACGATACCTCACAGGCGATGATGATGCTAAGCTAACTCTTCAAACGCTGAAAATAAGTGAATAGTCATTTTATACTTTTAGGAAATACAACTCAATGCACTCGCTCATCACTATATTTCAACATAGTTAAACACAAAGCTCTACGCCGTTCTTATCCTCCTTGCATCCTAAGCCGTATTGGTGTTGTTGAGAGCTGTGCTGCAGATATAGGACAATGTTGGGTAATGGGGTAAATAGAGTCATTATCAACCTCCAGTAATTTCCAACAAAAGGTTACCGGAGCGCCATTGAAGTAATGCTATTCTTTGCACCTCGTAGATTCGTTGCCCGGAAATGAAAGCGCAGCGTTGAGCGTAAGCGTAATATCGATCAGCGTACTCAAAGGCCGTGTTTCAGTATAGGAGCTATCCGGTACAGCCTACAGATTCAGGCGTTCCATGCTAACGCCATCTAGCGACAATAATGAAATTATTTCTTACGGGAGGCCCACCCGTTTCAAGGTAAATGATAATGCAAGGACAAAACGATACAAATGGTTATTTACGATTCGTAAGATATTTCAGGTTTTTGAAGCATATGTAGAGGAACTTGGCTAAGACTCCAATGTTCACATAATGAGCAAATGCTGAAATGCACATTTTTCAGCTACGCAGCAACGGCGAAAAGGCGGTCAGTGCATGCAGCTGAAGGACAGAGTTCAAAACATAACTTATGAAAGTAATGAAGAACTGTATCTTACCTTCAGGCTTCAGTCTCCACCTCATCACATCATTCAGCCTATTCCAAAGCAATCACGGATTGCCATCGTAGATTATGACAGAAACTCATCGGCAATAATTTGGTGGTCTTACCATGCATACAAAATTGTTAAATAAATACCATTTAATGGCTAGTGTTTCGTTATATCGTTCGTTTACGTTTGCACAAAATGCGACCGCAGCCAGCTGTTCACGCGTGCCCAACCGACGATCGCAGCAACTCTGTTGCCTAGCAACGCCGTCGAGATCGACTACACCTTCGGACGAGCGAACTGCACGAAAGCCAGAACGTCGAAAGCTTTGAAGGCCCGTGGCATTGTAGTATAGTGAGATGGCCTTGGTATAGTGGTAAACTGAGGGTACGGAAACCCTGCATGTGATGGAATTGACAGGACTCAGAATGAAAAAGTACACCTCCGAATGTGGCATGTTCCCATTGTAAGGCAATCATGCCGCACCATCACAACTGACATCCGGACTTAAAACAACGTCTTAGCTTTATGATGCTGCCCCTAATTCCACGCAGGGAAGGAACTGAACACAAAATATATGACTCGCACGTGTTCAATATTTCATTAAAATTTGTTAGCGAATAGATACGTGGCAGCAAGCCGTATTCCTCAGAACGAAGTTCATCGTTATTAGGATTATTACGTAGACAGAACAGACCAGATAAAACGGTAATAACCATCTGCCAATAACAAGAGCAAACAAAGACATCATCAAAAGCAGCATAAAGTGTATTTCCATTCCATCGACCACACCGACCGCTGTTAAAACACGCACCGACGAGCCGTTTTGTCTATCGCTCCGACAGTTCGCCCACACATCCGGGTGAAACCCAGTACACCGGCTTAGGTGCACAAATCAAACAGAGAGGGAATGACATTCAGCGTATCACAGCGAGACAAGTGGTCAGAACCGAGAAATTTCGCACGTATGACGGGCGTCTCCTAACCAGTAGCGACTCTCACAAACAAACTCAACAAAGAACGGAAGTTAAAGCTAACGATGACCTTACTCTCACGCCAACATCTACGCACTTCTAAAAACCACTACGAAAACGAAACAAAACACTTATCAGCGAGCGGTAGCAGCTAGAATTTGAACATGACTGGTGAAAAGCGGCCAACCCTGCGCGGAACCAAGGACATGTGACAGAGATTGCACACCGTACGGCCCAGGGAGAATGCGAGCGGCGCGCTTCAAGCGCCGATGACTGGGTTGCACGTAGTATATCACCCGGAGTGAGGCTTTGAGAGGTCGCCCCGACAGTATCAAGGCCAGAGACTGGAGGAGCCTGCCCCCCCCACACCGACCTTCCCCACCCCGATCCCACATCGGAACACACATAGCATTGCACACATAATTCGGGTCTCGCCCACGTCCAAGTATAAGCATTTCCGCGGCTCCATGGAGTCCTTCATTCGCCCTCATTGCTCACTTGTTGGTCATCCAAACACAAATCCCTTTGATGTCTACACCCACTCGACGCCTTGTCCACATTTATCCACGTTCTGCCCACATCCCATCCGCCTAGCACTTTCGCATCGTGCACGATCTTGTATGCTGTCTCTAACCGAGAAGCATCCGATGTGCAATATGAGATTTCTCCTTCAAGCTGAGCGTTTCGCTGCTACCATCCTACTAAAATGGGCAGTGCTCTGTGGCCGGACAAAATTTCGTCGTCATTCTGCATTCTGGAGCGGACTCGAGTAAGACTTTTAAGGATCATTTTACCATCAGAATCAGGGCGACTGTTGCCAAGACGTCGCTGTGACTGCTTCTATTTGTGCTCTTTGCCACCCTGGCGGACCTGTTTGACCAGTGATGGATCATTTTGAGCCCAAAGACCCCGGTACGGATGCCATCACGTACCCCAGTACCGCTCCTGTAACCCGTGTGTGCATTTCCCCAGACCCCATCCCTTCTTTACCCCGTGTTGGTTCACAAAGACCTCTTCTTCGACAGTCTGTGCACCACCGGGCCGCCATACATCCTTCAACGGGATAAGTATTTTTCTGTCGTGTCATTTTCCACAGCGGGACGATCGGCTCACTTGCCACCCGGCTCAGAGCTGCGCTCTCGGTCTGACACGGGCTGGGCGACTACCGTCTGGGAGGAGGCCGCTCCTGAGGAGACCTCGGTGCTGGCCGCCGCCCGCGCCGGGCCCGGATTGGGCTCCGACTTGGCCGCTGCAGCTGCTGCCATCTGCCGGCTGGTGGACGGAACGAGAGACGGTCAGCGAATGGGAACTGGACCACGGGTGACGGTGGCAAAACTAGGCGCAAGTCTGTGTCACGCTTAAACATATACTATTAATCGAAATAAAGCAATCCCCAAAGCAAATTAGCATATCTAGTCATTTCGACGGGTAAGTAAAAATTATTTCTCGGATGCAAGACTGAACCTCGGAGCCGGCATTACGAGCTGAAATTACACTCCCGATTCACAGGATCAGCAGAAAAACAGCTAACAGAACAGTGGAGTCAGCTGCCGCCGGCTTAATCACCCTTCGCCACTCACCCTGGTCGCCAGGAGGCCCTGCCGCCGGCGGCGCGGGTCGGCTGCTCGCTCTCCGCAGTCAGGGTGCCACTCGAGGAGGACGAGCTGGCGGGCCGTGCCGACAGCAGCTCAGCGGGCACCGGGTCCAGCGCCAGGCCCAGGTCCGACACGGCACCCACGGCCGGCGGCTGGTCCGACTCAGCGCTGGTCTTCAGACCGGAGACGCCGGGACGACAGAGGTCCGACGAGAGGTTCACTGTGGAGGGACAGAGGGGAGGGTCAGCTGTAAACTAGGTGGCACAGGTCAGAGAGGTTTACTGCAGAGGGACAGAGGGGGAAGGGTCACATACAAACTGGGTGGTGAAGGTCAGAGAGGTTCACTGCGGCGGGACGGAGGGGGAGGGTCAGCTGCAAACTAGGTGACACAAGGCAGAAAGGTTTACTGCGGCAAGGCACAAGACGGAACGGGTCACATTCGAATATCAGAGTAATCATTCAGCAAGCGATATAGCGGTGCGAAAGCCACTAAAATGAAATATAGATAATGTACGCAGTACGACTATAGGCTAGACATGAAGACAATCTTCCGGCTCTGAGCTGGACAATTTGGGTCATCTCCTGTTATTTTTATCTTCTTAAAAATGAATTCCTCTACCCCTCCCAACTCACGGGCCACAAGCTGGTCGGCCAATTTGGATCCGTCCAGCGCTCGGCCCCCTGCAGACTACCCCACCCCACTCACGTGCCACCAGTTGGTCGGCCAGTTTGGATCCGTCCAGCGCCCGGTCCAGCTGCAGTGTACCCCGTACCCCACCCCACTCACGCGCCACCAGCTGGTCGGCCAGTTTGGAGCCGTCCAGCGCCCTGTCCAGCTGCAGGGTGTGCAGTACGCTGTTGGCGGTGACCAGGGGCCGGCGCAGGGAGCGCGACCGCGGCCGGGCGCAGGCGCGGTACCGGCCGCCGCTGGCCGACCGCTCCTGCATGTCCAGCAGGTGCAGCAGCATCACCTGCAGCGGCGCCGACAAGTCAGGGCCGGTCTATAGGAGAAACTATGTCCAATAATGAGCGTTGGTGAGCGACTAAGCGTATTTTCAGCCACCTAACATTTTGACAGACTCATCAACATGGGAGCTTGGTGGGGAGCCGTTCACATGTAATAACAAGTGTATTACTCTTAATGCGAACTGTCAGGTGTGAGATTATTTCAAACGCCTATTCACCGAAGACACTCAAGGCATAGTCTCATGAGGGCACGCAATTAATTGTCAAATATCGCAGTTAGTTGTCACCTTCACTGACATCTTCGCTCGAGCCCTGCCCTACCTGGTCATCCTGCGAGGTGGATGTGGTGCGTGGGTCGCAGCCGCCCACGGCACCCATAGTGTCGGACAGTGAGTCCAGCTCTGCAGAGAGCAGCGAGTCACCGAGCAGGCTGAGCTGGCCCGAGCCGCGCAGAGAGGACGGACAGCCCGTCAGAGAGCGCTCCACGTCGTTGTCACCTGAGGACGAGTGGTTGGAGGGAGTCAGAGAATAGTAGATGAGAGAGGCGCCGCGCGAGTAGAGCAGACACCGAGATAGATCTGGGAACGACGTTTGTGCTGTCATAGGATATGGTAACAGCGTAAAGTATCACCTGTGCGATCATCTTTTTTCAGTGTCTGGATTCATGAGATAACTGGCTTTACAAAGTACGTGACGGAGGCACTGGAAGCGTTTCGGTGTTGTTTATTACCCGACATGGCCTCGTCGTCGACGTCATTTTCGTCGTTGGAGTTCTCTTCGGTGTGTGTCAGGGAGGGCTCCAGGAACTCGAACACCTCGTGCTCTCCTTCGCTGATGTCCTGGAAACACAGCAAACATGACGACTCCAATAAGTTGCTCGTCACGTGCCAAAAGCTCCGATCGGCACTCGAGCGGAAAATGGTAAAATTGGAGGATGTAATCTTTCAGGCTCCAATCAACAGCTGTGCAAGGAAGTTAGAGCTACAATCTTATCCTACTAAAAAGGCACTAGCTAGCTGCTCATCACCGCACAACGATATTGTGAAGAAAACATCCAAACCACGTACCTCCGAGTCGCTGGACGTATTGCTCTGCCTCTCGGCCTCCAGTTCCACCCCCACCGTCTCCACCTTCTTGTTGCGCGCCGGCTTGGGTCGCGGCAGCGGCAGCGGGTGCGGGTGCGGCGCCGGGCCTTTGATACTGGTCGGACCCAGGCCGGCCTCCATCATCTGCTGGTGACAGTCTCCGGACGGTGTGCCCTTGCCGCTGGCCACGCGGGTCAGCTCCATGGCGATACGCTGCCGGGGGAGAGCGGGGAGCGGTCAGTGGGCTGACACGGGTTTAAAGATGGATGTGATCTTGTGAGCACTGAGCATGGTAATCAGCTAGAATACAAACAGTCATGCAGCAGTATTGATGATAATTGCTAAACCAAGCACGTTCGCAACATAAAACATCCCTAGCAAGTAGCAGCATTTAACAATTAGGATGAGATTTACCGTTTTATGAGATTTAAGAATTTCGGCTTCCTGAAAAGTATTAGTGCCCGGATTTGGATCCTTTCCTTACCTCCTTGAGGTCGTTGATCTGGGCGACATACTGTCCCTGGATGGTCTGCAGCTGGTTAATGTACCACTGCTGGTCGCGACACTTTTGGAAAAACGTCGGAGGCCGCACCTGGAACCTGCAATATGACACGAGTACACACACAATTAATATCCACTCGGTAACATCAGCTGGTAAGAGCTAGGTAGAGAACAACGATAAAGCAAGTGCAAGAGGTTGAATTGATCGATCCGATTCGGCGGTAAAACTTCATGCAATTGATCAAATATAGCTCACCAAACCCTGATTCAGGTCCAAACGTCCTCCTCTATCAGCATCAACAAAACCCAAACGATCTTCCCTAATTCTATAATGGTTCTCACTACCACCTCATCTATAAGCCGCCTTTTCCCCACATCAACACTCGCTTCACAAACCTCCCAGTCCCGGCCCTCACCAATCCCGTACCCACAAACCCACCTCAGTATCAGT